TAGAATGGACTATTCTTGTCTGTCACATACTATTCTTGTCTGTCACATAAGTGGCGCAACTGATGCGGTATTGCGCTAAGGGGAAATTATTTTGACCGGACATTTTGACCGGAGAGATTTAGATTTGCCAGTCTTCAGCATATTTTACCGGTCATAGCCCGGTAATTACCGGCTAACGGGAACTCTGGTTTGTGCACCAATGGTCTGCAAAGACTATCCCAAACTGGCCACGCAAGTTTATTTATACAGCAAATTTCAAGGCAAATTCAAAGTACCTTACAGAAAACCTTACCGCATTCAAAAAAATTGTGCAACATAAACTAATTTGTTATGACATTTAAGTTCATTTGATATTCTTAATGAGTCATTAAAGCCAAAAGATGACAAATTAAAATAAGCTAAAATAGAAAAGACAGGTTTAAAAAGAAAAAAAAGTTGCAGTATAAGATATGAAGCTTTTTTTAATTTAATGGCAAATAGTGGCAAATAGAAAAATCTTCATCCTTAAATGAAGAAAACAATTTTTTAGGTAGTTTGTTCCACTTAAACAGAGCATAATAAGTAAACACTGCTTCTCCATGTTTGGTTTTCACTTTCAGGACAGAAAGCACACTAACTAACCATTCACCATTTAGATTGTTCATTTCAAACCCTTTCCCTGTGTTAGAATTGAAAGTACAAATTACAGTCCTTGAATATGCACCTAAAAAGCCCTTCCCTATTATTGACATCGTAATGCAGAGATCTTTCTGCAGACTTTAGCACCAAGTGGTGCTGAGAGACTGTTTTGGAGGCAGACTGTGACTGGGTGTGTTTAGAGAGTCATTGCACCCTGAGACCTCCATGAGTAATGATACAATCTCTGGCTGCATGTAAGTGCCCCCTGTGTAATTCAGCTGCTCTCTGCTGTGTCATCAGGCACAAATTGATCAGGCAATAACAGGCCGGGCGCCGTGCTCCACTCTGAGTCTGTGTGCGGCTGTCCGTCGTGGTGTCGGCCTCACATAATAATTTGCAGTGAGCTTTAATCATTTACCCTGAAGCTGGCTTATTTACTGTTTGCTCAACCACCAGGCTGCATTAAATGAAATCTGAAGTGGCAGAAGTTATTGTTTACCTCCCTCTCTGCTGACAGGCTCTTGTGTAAAAACGCCGTGTGTGTGTACTAATTTCTATGAAGCTACTACACAAGTATTCTTAGCAACAATTTTAAGCGTTTCTTTTTTATTCAGTATTTTAAAGATAGATCATTTATATATTTAAAAGGATATGAGTATTGCAAAGTTTACTCAACTTACTTTCAATATTCTGATGTTGTCATCCATTCAATCATGATTGAATTTGTTATAAATGTAGCGTGTAGAACATGTCTTAAGAATAGGGCTGTGCATCTTCACTGGTCTCACGATTCGATTAGATTACGATTATCCTGTCAACGATTCGATTCAATTCGATATCCCGATGCATCACGATTCATACCAATGCGTTGCATCCTCAATTTTCTATATTACTGCACATGGCTTATTTTTCATCAATGCATACATGCAGTAAATACATATGAACTCTCTTTTTATTATTTAGAAAGTGCTTCAGAAATCAATAACATAAATGTCTTGACATTCATTTATAAACCAAAATAAATTAATTGTATAGGTCTAGCCTCCCTATATCTGTGTGTGAAGTTGTTCCATCCTCAAAAACAAAAAAATAATGCTTCTGCATTCTAGCTGCAGCTTCTAGCTACGGTCTTCTGTTAAAAAAAGGACACTGAATGTCCTGAATGTGGCATCACACACAGGACACTGAATGTCCTGAATGTGGCATCACACACAGGACACTGAATGTCCTGAATGTGGCATCACACACAGGACTTGAGTCTGAACACAGCAGACAACAGGAGTATTTACAACAGCATATAACAACTAAAATAGTGCATGTGGGTGCACACTTACATTCTCTGTCTTACTGTTACATAAATCCCATGAATGTATGAGATTAAGTTAGCTTCATTATATCTCAATGATTAAGTGAATAATAAAGTTTCTATCGGGTCACTATCAGCCTGTCACTCATTATTTTCAGGGAGGGGGCGGGGTTTGGAGGAACAGAGGAGACGGTGATCGCGGAAGCTTTTTTCCTCCTGCCTTCACAAACTTTACACACGTATATATCGTCTGAAAATTGCTAGAGGACATTCATACTTTGCAATCCAAGACTTAATTAAATCCACCAAAAACCTGACATGATTGTAAAGCGATTATTTTTGAAAAACATAAATCCCTGAGCCGCAGCGACACGGAGTGATTCAGAGCGGGTCCTTCTGCTGTTGGTTCTGGACTGGTGTTCTTGTGTTTGTGGATAAAGCAGACTGCTCCGTGTTTGGTGTTGCTGTGCCGCTGTTCCCTGATCTCTGCGTAACCGACCGATTTGATATGAATGTGACAGAAAAAAAAAACGTTATAGTAAAGCCGCGGCCGGAAAATCAGGAAGCAACGTTACTACGCTATAACCGATTATCTTCCGTCACTGCATCGAGACCGAATCGTCCGCATCGCAATGCATCGTAGAAACGATTATTTTCAACACCCCTACTTAAGAAGGGGAAATGGTCTTGTCTGAGAACATCATAAATACACTGAAGTTTCCATGATATAGAGTCAACATGCTCCAATTTGGGAAATGGAAAAGGTTTACTTGAGAAATAACAAAAGAGTTTCTCATCAGTTTAGCACACAACGGGCCTGAGAGTTTACTCTACAGCAGGGGTGGGGAACCTTTTTCCTCTCAAGGGCCGTTTCAATTTTTTCAACATCCTCCGAGGGCCGCACAAATTATTGACCTCTGCTTACAAATCACAGCCCATTTCATTTGGCCTTTCTTTCATGCTGTGCAAATAAAAAGCAACCTCTTAATCCAGATATCTTGCCATGACTCGAGCATGCAGGCACGTGCACGGTTGTGGCATGACCACCAAACAGAAAGATATGGACACAAGATGTGTGCAAATGTATTTAGTTTCCTATCCATGTGGACATGATTTAAGTGGGGGGGGGGGGACCTAACCTCCTCTAGGGCGGTCCAGGGGGGCATGCTCCCCGGGAAGATTTTTTTTTAAATATTGAAGTTGAAAGCATCAATCTGGTGCACTTTGAGAGCAAAATGAAGAGATCTATGGAAACATCTCTCAACACCAATATGAAACAGAACTGTAAGCAGATTTACTTTTTCTTTATGGATATTTTACAAATCACTCCCCTTTCAAACTGTATTCTTGTTTATTAATAACAACTTTTTTTTACTGTCATATAGTATTTTATACCTGTTTACTTTATTCTCTTATTTTTTGATAACTATAATGATCATATAAAGATGTGCCTTTACCTCACTGGTTGGAGAAAAAAAAGCTTCTTATATTCGTTAGCATAGCTAGCTAACCAGATGCTAATAACAACAAAGTTATTGACTGTATGATCAGTATGACAGATGAACAGATCGCCACTGGGCTTACAACTAAAGACACAGCCACGCAAAAACTGCGGCATGTGTACGGATTTATGGGTACTGCCATTTTTTTGAAGTCCCGGAGCGGCGTTCCGGTGCTCTCCGTCAGAATTGCACCCCTGTCAGACGAGACATACCACGTGATGACACGTTAGGCTTGTGTTGTGTTTAAGGACCATGACCGTTGCCAGGAAAAACAGGCACTCGCTTGTTTAATTATTTTGCGGTCTAGATTTCTTTAATTTTTTTCTTTTTTGCGTGTGTTTATAAATTACCTCGAGGGCCATACCAAATGGTCTCGCGGGCCGTATACGGCCCGGGGGCCGGAGGTTCCCCACCCCTGCTCTACAGCAATGCTAGCGTCTCTGTAAGGCTTTTAAAAAAGGGCAAATACCCGTGGGATTTCAGTTTAGTACCAAACATGTTCCATGTACAGATGGTTGTTCTTTATTATGCTTCATCATAATAAAAACGTGTTATTATTATTTTACTGCTCAATGGTTGTAAATGTTCAGAATACATCTGTCAGGGAACACCATAATAATTGTTTTGGACAGACGGTATGTATTATTAATACATGATTGCACCCTAATTCATTTGTTTCAGTGGTTTATTATTTTTGCATGACATAAGTATGACAGAAATACATCTTTAATTGAACAACAAAACATGAGGAATTCTAAAGGGAGTCATTTGGCTTTCTTTCTTGTTTTTAATACTGCTTTTTAATGTGATATGCACAATTTTCCCAGTCAAACGTATCAGTATATGTTGAACATTCTTGCATAAAGCACAGTGATGCTGTGGTTTTGGGGATTCAGGGGTGCTATCAGGTACTTATTTCACATTACAACTCTCAGTGTATCTCATGCATTGATTTATTTGTGGCGGGCCGCCACAATTAAATATCGTCCGCCGCAAATGGATCTCATAAAAAAATTAATTTAAATAATATATTTTTATTTTATTTTTTTGTTTTAATCTTGGCGTTCTAATGGATAGTGAGGTGGGCTGATGATCGGAAGGTTGCGAGTTTAAATCCCGCCTGGAACACCACTACTAGTGTGCCCTTGAGTAAGGCACTTAGCCCTCAGTTACTCCAGGGAGAATGTCCCTGTAATTGGTCATTGTCAGTCGCTTTGGAATAAGGCGTCTGCTAAATGCCTAAATTATATTTTTGGGAGGATAAACCCCACATATCCTCAATTCCGGGGTGTCTCACTCATTAACAACGCAACACAGAGCAACAAGAACGTTGTCTACAGTAGCCATGAACTTGCATGTATTTTCTTATTTGAGGGGGGGTGGATGCGTGGGCCACCCGAATAGGTTAAGGGGCCTTTGGCTTTTCTTGCCTGCGGTGCGGTGCCCCCACAAATAGAATCAAATTCTGTGGGAGACGCTGCCTCTAACAGAATAACGTTTCCTGGGTTTCAGATTGTTCGGAATAAAACGTTTTACATATTAATTTGTAACCTTGTCTATCTTCTTTCTCTCAGGTTGACGGGGCCCTCTGGTCTTCTGAGTGACGGTCCAGGGAACTACAAGTACAAGACCAAGTGCACCTGGCTGATCGAGGGACAGTAAGTAGGAAGCAGATCCGACACAGCACAGAATAACAGCACATTACTTTACAACAATTATGCTACTTTTTCTTTTAACCACTTTGTTAGTTCAGAAACTTTTGATTGAGTTTTGAGTCTTTTTTTGATCATATCCCTAAAATAGTGGGGTAAAAAGTAGATTTTATTCTTGTTTATTAATTCAATTTATGGTGGTAGATTGCTGCGTGACCCTCTAAATACAGATGTCAGGCAAGCAAGTGAATATTTTTTGGACCGCAGTAAAAAAACAAACTCAAGGCCCGGGGGCCAAATCCGGCCCGCGACATCATTTTATGTGGCCCGCAAGAGCTTGCAATGAATATAATATGTTTATTATACGGTTACATGCCGTTTTACAGAAGTACATTGCCAATAAACAACATGTCCCACAATGCATCTAATTTTGTGACATGCACTGAAGAGACTTGCAATTATTTGCCCTAGACTTCTGCATTCAGAAGTTAATTATGAAGTTATTACCCTATCCGATAATAATCCAATGCAGAGGCAATAATGTAATATAATACATTATTTTATATATTTATATCGTCTTAAAGTTACAACCGGCCCTTTGAGTGCAACCATAATGCTATTGTGGCCCGCGATGATATTAAGTTTGACACCCCTGGTCTAGATTGAAGCAGAATATTTTCCATATGATAAACTGCTATCCAAAAATAATTAGTGTTTTAAAATGCACAAAAACAACCTACGCATCGAGTCTCTTAAGAAGCCAAAGCAAAGTCCGCAGACACACGAAACAATACTCTCTCATTGATTTCATCCATGAAATCAGTTTCTGCCATTATGAAAAAGAGGCTACAGTATTGATAACCTGGAGACAGCTGAGGGATGGATTGTGAAAAGAGAAGCTGCAAGTCAATAATTCAAGGGTGCTCATAATGACGGTAACACACACAGTCTGCACTGCAGTCCTTCACTGAGAGACCCTCCAGCATCAGGTCTATACACTATGCTGAAGCTGATGGATGGAAATGAATGGCAAAGTAACTGTGAGGAATCCAATACTCCTTCTCTATTGTTTTAGTCAGCATTACCACGCGACAGAGTATCGATTCAGAGCCATGGTTCTCAGTTTTGTTTGTCCCAGCAGCTCTTCCGAACCATAAGCTCTCTGATTGCTTTTGCATTTTAGGCATTTCGCCAACATTTTCATTCCTGAGGACGATTAAACATGAGTGAGTTTTCTCGAGGCTCAGGAGGTCACACTCATGTTTCCTTGCACAGGACGTGTGGATGTTACATGGACTTGAACCTCTGACCTTCCTGTTCCTGAATGGCTTCTGTGATCGCTATCGTTCAGCGTTTTCATTACATACTAATGGCACTTTAATATGCTTTCTCCATAGCTCTCAGCATGAGGTTAATGCAGTGGCACGTCCACCATATGCATCAGAATGACAGGAGAATTGTATCGCCTCGTACATACATTCACTCAATGCTTTCCCTGCCGTTAAGTGCCTGCTGTGGCCTGAAGTGACTTTACACAAAGGCAGTGAAATGATCAGTAAAATAAAGCCGTGTTTATGGGTAGCAGAGTGATTTTAAAAGAGGGGTTTCTTGTCAGATATCTCCAGTCGCTCTTTGGTTTTTGAATCATTATTTACAGTCACAAGCTTTCTTTTTTTAATCCAACCTCGGGGCTGCTCCTATTCCTCCGCGAGGGGAGGGAGGGAGGGAGGAAGGATGAGCCCCTCTGCGCTTCAATAAATCAAATTGTAAGGAGATAAATGTGACCATTCATAACATTTCCTGTACATCTTGTACCCTCAAAGTAGAGAAAGCTAAATAGGCCTTTGTGTTTATTCCCTCCACTTTTGAATGATTTCATTTTGCCATATTAACCACATTTAGAGCAGAGATGTTTCAAGAATCTCATGTCTTCAATCAAAAAACTGATTTAAACAAGCTTCCTGTTTCCTGTTTGTCTCTCTGATGTACTGTAAGGTCATGGAGGGTTAATACATTAATATTGCACCAGTTTAAAATGAGCCTTATTAAATGTAACCTACTATATCGGCTTCTTCACTTGTCAGAGCTGGGATTTACCTTCTGTTACGTCCGGTTAATGTAACAAATCATCTAATAAAATCGTATGAATTTGAAATAACAGTTTGTTTTTTACTGTGATTAATGCAAATATAAAGCTAATGCAAGTGAAGTTTAGTCGTAGGTAGGAAAATGTTTTGCCTGTACCACTTCAGCTGGTAATTATCCACCTTTTCTATGTTCCAAAAATCCCATTTATTCTGCTCGCCATTTGAAAGTGGTGCATTGTGGCAACCTCTTCAGGTCTCTCTTTCAGAAACAATAACAAAAATCTGTATGCATGCAAAATATTGTTTTTTTCTATTAAATTCCTATCCCGTTCAGAAGTTCTCATGGTCTTCCTCTGTGTGTTGTTTTCCAGACCCAACACCATACTCCGATTACGGTTTAACCACTTTGCCACTGAATGCAGCTGGGACCACCTGTACGTGTACGACGGAGACTCAATCTACGCCCCCCTCCTCGCCGCCTTCAGGTACGTCTGCTGTGGGTTCACTGCAGTCTCTTATACAAGTAGTCCCTGTGCGGAGTAGATGTTGTGAAAATGTTAGTTTTTAAGCACTTACATTCAACATGAATTAGCCATGATGAGTGGATCCATTTACCTGTTAAGATATCAAAAATGCTTATAATTCTGGCATTTCTTTGCTTCCATACATTGTTATTACTTAAGCAAGAGCAGCAACCCATCGCCTCCATTTTTCTGTGTGCCATGCATTAAGATGGCCCTTTTAAGGTGAATGATACACTATCCTGACCATTTGTATAGGAACTCGCTTGGTGGACTGGACTTATCTATTGCCTTATTTCTTCTTTATTTTACAAATGAATCCAAAAAAGTTGGTTTAAGTATTCATTCTATCCCTCAGAATGTTTTTATTGAGCAGAACGTGTTTTTACGGTGGTAGAGAAAACCTGTGTAAGGAGAAAAGATTTACCAAACAATACTTAACCCTTAAATATATACGTTTATGCTCACAAAACAGCAAAGACTGTTGTGTCTCCTTCAACAAGATCCTTACCCTCTTATATACATATCAGTCTAGGAGTTCTGTATGTGAAAATTACAATCTTAATCTGTTAAATGACATGTTTGTGTTGTAATTGCAAGTGGTCTGATCGTTGCCTGAGCGTTACGGGAACGAGACAGTCCCTGAGGTGGTGTCTCAGTCCGGCTACGCCCTGCTGCACTTCTTCAGTGACGCTGCCTACAACCTGACCGGCTTCAACATTTCCTACAGGTGAGAGAAGAACAACAATTTAAATTCCCTATTGGTTTCACTTTCAAAAGGAAAGTGCAATCTGTTTTTAGCATATAATCAAATCAGCTTTCAAACGGCTTATCTCTCCACTTACAGGTCGCTTCTCCATATCAAATCAAATGTTTTCTTGGTTTTGAAATCTCAGATCTCTGCTGGCAGCTTCCACATATTAATTTGCTCCTCATCCTCTGATTGTGGTGCTGCAGGCCTCAGGGGCCACACGTGCATCCATGATAGTGTCAGTCACCAGATGAAAATATCTGCTAAATGACAAACACTTTACCACTCAGCCCTGAGAGGAGAACCTATGTACAATCATTTGTTTTGCATCACTTCACAATGCTAAGATAAACCACATGGAAGCAAAAATAGGCCAATAAATAGTTTAACACAGTGGTGGAATGTAAGGAAGTATATTTGCGTAAGGACTGTACTTAAAGGTGGGGTAGGTAAGTTTGAGAAACCGTCTCGAGATACACTTTTTGTTATATTCCATGGAATGCTCTTAACATCCCGATAGCAATGAATATCTGAAGTGCTTTGACAAAAAATCCATAAAAAATGTCATCTGTGGAAGCCGTGGTACTGTAAAAAGCACGACCAATCATTTTAGCCTGCCCGGCTAAAGTGACTGGATGGCCTACCACAAGTAAAGTACTTTTTATGCTACTTTATTTCTACTGCTCTACATTTTGGAACCCTGTTTAATACTTTTTACTTTACTGCATTTATCATGCAGCTCTAGTTACTAGTTGCTTTATTGATTCAGATTATTAGCTAATACACTCTGGTAAATAAACATTGACTCATTTTTATGGATGTATAATATATCCTTAATATGTAAGGGAGAAAGATTTATGTAATTGGAACATTATAATGGAAAGGTATCTCAAATGTTTTATTGTGCTTAAATTGACATTTACAATTCAAATGTTCCTAATTTTAAAATAGTCAGAAACGTTCAAGTTGCATAAAAAAGTGAAAAAACCAGACACTAAAATGTAAGCTGAAAAATGTGTGAAGTTGTATTATAAAATAAAACATTAGCCATTATACATTCAGACTGAGCATTACAATATATATATATATTCTATAAATGATGTGGGATAAAAATAGTTATTATTTCTAGGGCTGTCAAGTTAATGCGTTAACACGCTAACGCAATTTTTTTTTTAACGCCACTAATTATTTTAACGTGCGATTAACGCATGTGTATTTGTCCTCGGCCCGCCCCGTAGTTTCAGAGCCCAAAGGCTTGACGTTGTTGTTGTTGTTGTTAGTTGGATGTTAGCAGATTCTAGCGAGAGATATGGATACAAAAAAAGTTGTTTTAAACATCAAGCCAAGCACACAGCTGATGCTGAAAGCCCCGCTCCTGCCACTCGCTTGCGGCAGACCACGCTTGAAAGTTTGCCGGGGAGACGCCTGTACAACAACAGCGATAGCTAAATGGGTGGCTACAGCTTAACATTGTGGAGGACGAGGGGCTGCGTTAGATAATTCGGACCGCATCCAACGTGTCGACTGCACATCAGTCATTATTTTGACCCACAGTGGGAACTTCAGTCTCATGCTTTGACTGAAGATGAAGACAGAGGAGCGGGATTTCGCCGACAACTGTAAACAGGCTTGTCTGTTTGAGCAACTGGCTCAGTGCAAAGAAGTACACAGGGTTGGGAGAGAGTGTAAGAGAGAGAGAGAGAGGTTCCAGGTTGTTGTGTTGAGAATATTCAGGAGAATATTTGTCATTGTTCCAATGATAATAAACAAACATTTGCATAAAGCATATTTTTACACTCATATGTTGATAAGAGTATTAAAAACTTGAAAAACATTCCTCTAGTCTAAGGTACATTTAGAACAGATAATTTGAGATTAATCGCGATTAACTATGGACATCATGCGATTAATCGCGATTAAATATTTTAATCGACTGACAGCCCTAATTATTTCTTATATTCTTCAGGTCCATTTAAGGTCAAGATTACATTTATTTGCCTTGTTAAGAGCACTTTTTCCCTTCATGCTGATTTATTTTCAAACCTAGGACTAATGACCAAAACACCAGCAAAAAAAGTGCAGCTTCACTCCCCACATGTGTTGTTCATTTCTACATGATGTCCTCTTTTCTTTTGAGCTTTCAATTCCCATAGGTGTGTACTTGACATCAGCTTTTCAGTATCCAGTTTTTACTTCATGACAGCAAGAAGGGAAATGCAATGGAAAATGGAAAAATGCAATGGGATGAACACAGACAATCAATGAATTCCCATGTATTCACAACAAACACTCACCCAAACTCATATATTCTTATAACTTGAATCTGATAAACAACCATATACCCGTGCACACACAAATAGACAGATGAAACTAAACTTCAAGTCATATAGAGACAAAAATGCTGTTTTCCCAAAGCTGGCATAAAGGGAAACGTCATCTAAATTCAAAGTGAAGCTTGTCCGTTCCCAACGTCTGAAAAGGACACAATGGGCCCCTGAGTTTTTCCCAGCTCACTGGTCCAGTCACCATAGCGATGGGATTGAAGTGGGGTTGAGAAACACAGTCAGATGAAAGCGCGGTGCCCCCCCGGTCTTTGGTGTCTCCGAGCGGTGGAGGAACGGAAACATCAAACCACGAGGCTTTCCAAGGAACATGAAAGAATGACGAGGGCCTTTTTGTGCCGTCTGTCTCGCTTCCAAAACATTTCCCTCTCCCTGCTGAAGACAAACATCCCTCTTCAGTCTCACTCGAATGGATAATCATCCGAGTTACTGCTAAACCTTTGACATCGACTTGTTTACTCTTGTTATAAAACACATTGTCGTGTACACAGATTTCCATAGTTAAAGGTAAGTCTGGCAATATTCTTTGTTTCTTTTACGGTTCACAGATGTCATAAAAAGACCAAAACCAAAATAATGAGTGCTGTTCAAGTATCCATGTGGCCCTTTTTAGTTTGGCTTTCAATTAAGGCTTGTTTTATTCAGTCCAGTGTTTATTAAGTTCTGTCGTTGAATATCATTCTCAGGGGGCCGGTTGGAATTCTTAGTTTTTTTGCGAAGCTCTTTGTGTTACCTTTTGTGTATGAAAAGTGCTCTATTAATAATTGATTTATATATCTTCTTCCCCTCTGCTATTGTTGTACACAAACTATTAAATCAAAACGATGGACGCTTATTCTTATTCAACATACAGGGTGCTGCTTCTGTAAGTGCTCACTAAAGCCCCAATGTGGATTAATCCTGTTTGAGTAGTGTTTGATCAAATCTGTAGCGCCCAGGCATTTTAGAAAATTACACAGCTCTTTTTTTAAATGAAAGTATACAGTGTATATGTGACCTATTTTTAACGATTGGCTGAGTCAGTAGGAACCAATGGGCTTAGTGCTGAGAGGAAAGTCCATTTACCTAAACACTGACAGATGGACTCACATGTTGTTGGTTTTGGTCTTTTTATGGGATGGATTCACAATAAGAAAATATAGAATAATACTAAACCTTTTCCTTTTCACGTAAATCATTACATTTTACGTTTTGTATATGTTATTTAAGTATACATAATACACATGTACCTGAAGTTGCTTTTAAATTGGAGACATTTTTAAACATTTGGCTATTTTTGCATAGTTTGTTTCTCCCTTAATTTGCAGGTTCATGGCATAGTCACTGCTGAAAATCAAGTATTATCATTCCTTTTCTAATGTGAACTCAATATCTGCCTACATTTGTAGTATGGGATTTGGCCAGTTAACGTTAATTGCGAGCTACATCTGAACCGTGATTATCCATTTTAAACAAAAAATTCTGTGGATGATTTTGTGAATTTTTAACTTCTGGACCACGGAAAGTCAAACCCAAACAGGAACAGAGTCACCCTCTCTGCTGATACCGCAAATAATGTTTATGCTGAAAAAGATACCAAAAAGTGATCATTGTGAGATAATCATTAGTTATTTTTTCATGTCATGTGACTCACAGGTCTTTGTTGTGTTGTGGTAGAACAGGCAGTATACCAGTCTGCTTCACTGTTCCACATTCAGGTCTCGCCCGCTTTTTATTGTTGTTCTTGTCACAGTAATTAACCTTGAGCTGTGTCTCAAACTATGCTGTGTTAGGTCGTTCAACTTGAGGGAATTTGGCCTAGAAATGCGTTACATTTGATGCGAAAGAATGTGTGGGAACCCTGTTAGGAGTTCTTAACAAATTTACAGATGTTTATTTACAAAAAACAACAAGATAAACAGATATCCTGTCACTGGAAAAAGCGTGTTTCGCTGATTCCAGCTGTAGTTTAATGATGTTTGTATGTCCTGATGCGTTTGATTTGTTTGGCACAAAATGTGTCCCTTGGGTGCAAACATATAAGCTCATTATGCACAAACATAAAGGTCATGTTGAGAGACACGGAGAGCGTCAGCATTGCCGTTTCACTGGAGTTCAGGGGAGTTTACCATCTGCTCTCCTGTGCCGGTGGTGACTTTATGTCTGCCGGTTACCTCTGCCTCGAGCTCAACGCTGTTTTTAGTGCAGGCGATCCCTCTGAGATGAATGACAAGTGTCGAGGCAGGCGCTCGACCGACTGACGAGGGAGGAAGATGCCAGTAACAAGTCCTTCTGCTGACGTGAGGGCTTTAAGCCTGCAGACAGCTGAGGAGCTGCCTGCACAAAAGCAGATGTAACCCAGCCGCTGAAATGTGTCCCTGATGTTTTATTCAGAGTGTGTATTTCACTCAGGAATTCTCACCCTCTCTGTGTCTTCCTCCCCTCCCTCCTCCCAGGGTGAATTCATGTCCCAACAACTGCTCCGGCCGCGGCGAGTGTCTGGTGAACAACTCTACGGGCGCGGTGTACTGTGACTGTGAAGACAACTGGAAGGGGGCTGCCTGTGACGTCCCGTACTGCCTGGCAGACTGTGGCTTCCCCGAGAGAGGTCAATGCCAGGGCAAGGTGTGCGTCTGCAACACCGGATGGCAAGGTGGGCCCACACTGCAGCAGAAACTCTCCGAATGCCAGAGATGTGACCTCATTGTCTCACACACTGCGCTGCTTTTAACAATGTCATTGGGTTTGCTTCAGCAGGCCCACTCATGCCAAACCGTCCTCTGTGACTCAAATAAGCTTCTTACTGTACTGCTTCTATGTTCTCTGTACAGAATGAACAGTGAGTCAGCTCTTGAGGGGGGAACATCATACATGTAGCTGTCAAAATGCACTTATAACAGCCAAAATCATAATAATACAGGATATATTTATGACAATGGAGTAAGCCCTCTAACTATTTTCAATACTATTTCACAGAGCAGATGTTTTGCTTGCAGTAGTAAAGAAAAGATGGCTGGGCAATAAGTCATTATTTTATCAAGACTAGATTTTGTCTTAAATACCTGACACCGTAATATCGCATAGGTTTCGTCTTTCCCTGTCTTGAAAGGCTGCATTATGGTAAAGTGAAGTCATTTTCAAACCATATTTAAATCAGTTTTATTAGTTCTGTTATTTGCCTTTACCCACTTCGCCCTTAAATCCACATTACTGATTAATATTGATCCAAAATCTTATTACATACATATGTTGTTGAAGAACAAATAGTCTATGCTACAATGTTGTTGAAATATCAATATTAAGGTATTTGATAAAACATGCCATAATATTATAATATATTTTATATCGCCCAGTCCTAAAAGACGAATAACTGAAGACTAAATGAAAAAAACTCTACTACTACTGGAAAGTGAAAACCTCAAAAAGCATAATATGGCCTCTTTAAATCATTCCAAACTTCCAGCTATTCTTTTTCAAAACTTAACCAGGAAAGGCGAGGGTAAATATCCAGAGCAGCTGAGCAGCTCTACTGCAGCAGTTTGATGTTTAATAAAGAGAGCGTCATTGACTTTAGTTGTTGCCTGTTTATCTGGTGATTCAACCCAGTGCCTCTTCAGCTTTAAGCCTCCATCACTATTATCGAAGCTCCCGCTGAACCCACAACCTCCTTCTGCTGCAACCTGATGAACTTTTTGCAGGACCAGCGTCCTCATCTTTTCGTCTGAGTCATGACTATCAAGTGTTTTAAAAAAAAGTTGTATTTGATGATGACCTGACACTAGTGGATCCTTTTTTGAATCGGACCATATGGGCGCTCTAACGGCTCTATTAGTTCTTAAATGGCTCCTCTGTGCAGAGACAATAGCTTAATTTAACTGCAGTTATATCAGCGGCTCAGCATGCTCACAATCTAATTACTAAAGCTGAGGGAGTTGCAAAACAGACCTGCATTTTCTTTAGCCTTTACTACCCCGTCATGGTATGTTAGCCGAGCAATAGCACACTTAGTGTACGCTGTGCTGCCGGCTCCCAGATGCACTCATGTTCGACACCAAGCAGTGCAAAAGCAGACAGATGCCTGTTTAGTCGGGCCAGCCGTGCGTTTAATCTCTTTCACAGATGCGTAGCCTTCAACAAATTGCGTCTTTAAGGGAAGCAAAGGCCACATTTGTTTTATTTATGGAAATGCCACCACGTTGCAACGGTAATTTAGTTTGCCTAGTGCTCCTGGAGGAATATTGGCCATTAGGGAATAGCTTTCAGCCCAGCAAAAACAAAAAGGAGAATGGCTTCAGTGACCTTGATTGTCTTTGAGAATCATAACACTTCCTTTCCTGTCACATGGCCATTGTCCGGATAATGATCAAATGGGGACTCCCCCAGCGCTCAAACATCCTGTTTCTGCTCTGAGATGGAGTGATAGCTCCAATTCGTCTGTAAATATTTTATACCAGGAAGAGCTTTATTGGTGTCTTTCATCAAAATCGACAAATCTGCCCCAAAACTGCATCAAAAAACAATTCAAACATCGCCAGGCCAGTCTTTCTATTTATGACTCGGCAATTGTTGCCAAAAAGTCCCAGTCTTTTCCTTTTATTGAGGAATAATTCTGGTTTATGCTTCTTTCATTGTTCTTGTCCCGTAACAGGGAAGACCAAATCTCTCCAACACAAAGGTTCTGTAATGCATCTAGTTTTCTCTACATAGTGGATCATCTGGCATTTAAAACTACATTTTTAATGATAAAGGACTCTTATGTTACGTAATACCTGTTTGGTAACCTCTCTGACCTTTCCTTTCACCTCTCACCTTCATAATTGAAGATACATCAATAATAGATCCTGTTTTTTCCCCGGCATCCAAATAAAACAGATCGTACCCTCTCTTGTAGTGTCACCTAAAGCTCGATAACACATGTGTAGAAATGTCTTGATTACTTAAAACTACTGGAAACTGGAGCCAATGCATTCAAAGCGCCTTAACTGCAGTAAAAGCCAAACATACAAAATACGTCTGGTAGTATATCATATATATTCACAGACAATACAAGCTATAACTTTGTATTTCGTTATCATACAAACTATGGTGCTGTTCTTCAGAAATGAGGGGAGACGGCATGACTACTTATTTCCCAGAAAAGACGTTAAATAAAGGTACTTTTTGCTTTCTGCATCTTAGTTTTCATCATGTTGCAATTCTTCAGAAATCGTAAATGTATCCAAAGAACACAATACTGTATGTGCTGAAGTGAAGTTCATAGACAGGGTGATTCGTGCAGACTTAGATACATGTGTTTATTCGATATGGAGACATATTTATATACACATTAATGTATCACGGTCTGGCTGCAAGTCTGAAGTTGAGTCCTCCTTAATGCAGAAACTTTATCCAAACACTGTTTTAATGCTGATTTATTTTGTAGGTATTTAGTCTCATGTTTTATTAAAGAGCTGGGGCATCAAAAAATGTATGATGTGAGCTTTCTGCATGATTTTCTTCCTCGTGCAGCCCTGACTGTTCGATGTTCTTCGCTCCTCAGGTCCAAACTGTTTGGTCTCGGTACCGGCCAACTCCTCCTTCTGCACCCGGGAGGAGTACACCGACCCCGGGCTGGCCAAGGCTTCCCACAAGGCCGTGGTGGACCAGGGCATCATGTGGGTCATCGGAGGCTACGTCTTCAACGCCTCTGACTATCACGTGGTCAAAGCGTAAGTACTCTCCCCGGTGAGCATCTGGAGTTGGATTTCAGGCGTTTTGGCTGCTGCTCTCGTCCTGCTGTTGCTATGCGACTGTAGGGGAACGAGATGTCGAAATACATTTTCTCTTTTGCAAAACCAATTGTTTTGTACTTCTATGTCTGTTATAGTTCTTAAGTATTACTGGGCTGTCAGGAAGTCCCAGATTCTTCCAGACAGCGCTGTCTGTTAAACATTGAACAAGGAGAAGAACACGGCTCTGCAAGAGTGAAGGATGTTATTAAAGCCATACAATTACAGCTGGTGCTCCTCACCCTGAACTCCACCCAGGATAATCACTATTTTCGCCCTGGCTCATATTTTGGTTTTATGGTTTTAAGAGGCAGGCTGCTGCACTTTTTATTTCTCCTCACGTCTATCATGTGAGACTCTATAGAAGCATTCTGCCAACTCCAAACTAATACTTGGGTTGTCACCTTGACATAGTTGGATTTGACAAATGCAAAAATTCTGCTCCTCGATGTACATGCTTATCTTGTTCCTGATAAAGCTGCAAGTATTTCCAGAGCAATGGTTTCATAGTCTGTCTAAAATCCAAACGGTATGATTTGCATTTCACTTGTGATAAGTACTATGTTTGGCAGGTTTAACAGCGCTTATATGATGGAAGCCGTTGTACTTTGGAGTGGCCCACATTGTAAACTAACTTTTATTTGTTTATTTACTACAGTCCTTGTTGTATGCCACTTTGGATAAGAAAGATAAGCAAAACACATAAAGTTGCACTGGCCAAACTCCAACAACATTTTGTAAAACACATGAGAAGATTGGTTAAACTCTCATGTATGTTTGGTACATTTAAATCTGGAGTCATCAACACGTCTCAATGGAGAGTGCTTGCTCATTGCTGTTGAAGTTTTTTTTTTTGGATGGTTCATTTTGTGTGCAATTTAAAATGTCCTACCTGTGGTTTGCCGATGAGTATACTCAGAGCACTATAATCAGGGCTGCACATAACTGGTGCGCATGCGCATCTCCGCCAAAAAAAGAGCACCGTGTCATTTGAAAAAAGGCGCGTTTGCGTACCAACATTGAGAGAGAGAAAGAGAGAAAAGAGAAGAGAGAGAGAGAGAAATATATTTGCGAGTTGCATATGAACCTATGATATGAACTCAGGGTCGGCCCGTAGCACTGGCGTAATAGATGTTCGCCTAGGGCGCCAGATCTGGGGAGGTGCTGCGCTGGTAGCTCTGGGAGGGAAAAAACCATTTTTGACCGTTGGGGCTCATCCTAATTTTCGGCCTTGATGTAACAATATTCATAATTAAGTAAATGTAACACCCTTTTCACCCCGGTTACACGTTTCATTTGCCCTGTACGATGGGCGCTGTAAGTGATGAAAATGGGGGATGTTGGATTATCTGGCGCCCGCAGCTCACAGCCAAAATGCGAGTGAGCGAGGGAGAGAGGGAGGGTGCACCGGTACCGGCGCTGTTGTTATTAGAATCTGGTGCTAGCTGCTTTAACGGATATAAGAAGAAGATATTTCTACAATAATGTGGAGGGAGAGTCCTCTCCAGTCAGACTGAGAGGCTGATACTACAGCTCAGTGAGGTAAGGATTCTGAGTGTTTAGATAGTTCACTTTAGTCTAAGTTCAAACTGTTTGGTCACAATTTATGTAAACACATATTTCCAAGGCACTCCTTTATAATTATTGGGATAAACAGGTTTGAAATCATTCCAATGTATACTATAGGACAGTAACCAAAAATATCCTTTAAAACTGGAGAGATACAAAAAAAATGCAGAAATAAATAAATGTTAAGGTAAAATAAGATATGAATGAACAACACAAACAAAATAAGTTACATTCATTTGTTATTGGCTATGGTAGGCTATTGGTTATGTTCACATACTTATTTGATTACATACACTTTTCTAAGATGACAACAGAGACTTTCGACCCAAACCCAGCTGTTGACTTGTGGATGCAAGCAGCTAATCGCAGACTCAACCAGAGAGAAAGAAGTAGGCCTACATCATCAGCTACCATGTCTGACAGTGAGGAGAACAGTGAGGAGAACAGTCAGGAGGGTAGTGATGACAGCTTGTAGGATTACTGGTCGTGCTAATGTTGTCTTGTGTTCACCTCTGCATGTGTGTTCTGTGTTCACCTCTGCATGTGTGTTCAGTGCCGTGTGTCTGGCAAATAAAGTCAAGACCCCTCAAAAGTTACGGTTTATTTCATTTTAAGGATGAGCACCAAGCAACATCTCCAGGTGCTCCTTTGAGAACCAGGGCAAAAAAGTTATGTGCACCCCTGATTATAATCCATGTTTCAAACCATATTTAATTAACCTGACGTAGATAGATTCCATAGAACCCTCTGAGAAGCAGCCTTTAGAAACTGTTTTGAAAGAAGGCAGGCACTTTCAGGGAAAAGCTTAGCATGTGATATAACTAATCATCTGTCAATAAGACTCTATCAAAAACCAGTCGGAAAAAATCCAAACATCTTCTTTTTCATCAAGAAAAGCCTTCATTGTGGCACTTTGCTATTCTATGAATGAACAAATTCATGAATGAACTCTCAAGATCCGATATACTATTGCAGAATCTACACAAACCACTATTGTTTGTTTTGAATGTCGCCTCCATGTGTCCCATCACACACACAAACCACCCCAGTAGCTCCTAGCGGGGCGCTGCTTGTTCCAGTCACCAGCTGGCGGCACGTAAACACTTTACTTAAAGTCTGACAAGATAGATGTTTGTGTGATATCAAATAAATAAAGCTTCTGTGGAAGGCAAACCTATTATAATGTCCAGAGGATTGCCCCACATTATGCAATTGCCACCTTCATCTCACTGACTTTAAAAGGGGGAAGGAAGAGGGTCCAACATCATTTATGTCCACAAATCTATGGGTTTCCATTTCAAACCATGTTTCCCCACGGGCTGGTTCACCTTGTCTTTGTCACATTTCAATTGATCAAGCGAAACGACCACTTCTCATATCTACTCATGTATTTTAATTGTATCCCGTTTAATAGTAATGTTAGGAACAAATACTCCAAAGCACTTTCTTTTTATGTAAAAATCAAATTGGCAGTTAATTGGATTCTGATTCTTATACTCATACACTTGTTAAAATCCTCCTTGAGTAGTTTCTTAAAGCTGCTCTGTCATGGTCTCCTCACCTTCCTGTTTTCTTCCCGCAGGTATAACCTCAGTAGCAAGAGCTGGCTGACCCTGGACCCCTCCGTCAACACTGTGACGCCGCGATACGGCCACTCTCTGGCTCTTCATGAGGTATGTGGAGCGATAAATGACATCTACCGTGAACCTGGATATTCATTCAGACAGCATGACTACATCGCTCTATTATTATAAAGCTTTCTGCATGCATCTGAAGCCCATCTCAGTGTGACGTAAAAAGGTTTTCAAAAGAGATGAAAACAGAACAGATGACAACTGAATTACATGGAGGAGCTAGCAGAAACATTATAGACCCCTCTTCCTTTTATGTATGCTTTCAGCTGTCTGGAACTAATATATAAATCTCTGGGTTCTGATATGCTGCAGTGAAGTGGTGAAGCAGTTTGTTCTCAGCCAGAAAGACTGTTAGGAGCCGCTGATGGAATACTAAATTAGCGAGTGGAGGATTCAGGGCTGCAGAGCGATTGTTGATGCACACGTTGCATCACGGTGTTTGAATGCGTCTTGGAAGTCGGTGTGAGCTTGCAAAACAAATCTAAAATCAAATCAGTTTTGATGCATTACAGATGGAAGTGATGGAAGTCTCGGAGACACAGATAATGTGCCAACTCTGCTCCAAGCAAACACACTGTGATCGCTTTATCAAAGGCAGGACATGCTATAACTCCTCTGTCACGCCTGGAAATCATCAAACTAAGCTTTTGTAATGTCAACGTTTTTTTATGTTAAATAAAGATCAAGTAAAACCACTTTTTGTTGAGATGATATAAGAACGTTTTGAGTAGAAATACAGTATGTTGCATTATTACTTAAAAATATTCTTATTTTAACAATTGTTCCACTTGTATAATAAAATGGGGCCCTTTCCTTGTTGTATAATCCTCAATACACGTTCAGAATTAATTAAATAGATTTTGAAGCTACCAAACTAAATTGGAACTGCTGCTTCAACAAGATCAAGTACCCTCTGTTTCGATGAGTTTCTTTGTTCAATGGGATCTGCAATTACTCGCTCTTATATTGTCATGGGGATGAGTACTTTGTACCCACGTGTACTTTTAATTAAATGTATATTGCCAAATCACAGGGCACTTTGTATAGGAACCAGGTCTACACTTTGTTCTTTCTAATAAAGAATGAATGGACAATTGCCCGACTCTTAATATCCTGAGACGTCATTCTGTCTGACCTCCAGCAAATCTTCAGGTCTTCAAGTGGGGAATGTTTTTCTCTTTCGGAAACAAGGTCCAGGGAATGATGCAAATAAACTGGCGTTATTATAAGAAAGGGATTGAAGGTTATTGGTGCCCAAGGTTGATTTTCTTTTCTATGAAAATCCCTTGTGTTTCTTATGCTTTGTTTGAGTTTCATGGTAATACTTCAATAGATTGATGATTCCTGATCACAATAGTGTAACTGTGCCAGGCTTTGGTTTAGTCAATATTGTGTTTTGAGCCGTTGAATAAATATTTTTTTCATTGCAACACTGCTTCAAAACAACGCAAAGTTAGTTATGAGGTAAAATATTACAATATTGGTACTAAGAATTTTCAGTGTTTGTAGCAAATTGGACCTAGGATTACAAAAGACCCCTTTCTAACTGATGTGTGTTTTAGGTTGAATGCATTTCACAATATTTAGTTTTAGAAAGGACCTCCCGTTATATACTGTATGATCTTACGCTGCCTTGCTTTCTGTTTCTACCAGGGGAGGATCTACATGTACGGAGGAAAGATCGACTCCACAGGAAACGTGTCCAGCCAGCTGTGGGTTTTCCACATCCAGAACCAGACCTGGGTCCTGCTGAGCCCGCGGGCCAAGGATCAGTACCCCGTGGTAGGACACTCGGCCCACATCGTGCCTCCCCTCCAGGAGGAGGACAGTCCCATCATGCTGGTCCTGTTCGGACACTGTCCTCTGTACGGATATATCAACCAGGTGCAGGAGTACAACATCGGTAAGCTGTAGGTGCTGAAGTGTGAGCGACTACCTTATACCTCCCTACTTGTGACCAATCCCAACCCCATGAAAATGCATTGAAAGCTCAAAAACTGTCTGCACATATAGAAGTGCACTGTGTGATGGCATAATGCTTGTTGGCGTTTAAACATTATGAGACATATTTCTGTAAGTACCATCTCTAAGCAAGGGGGCATTTGAGCTGTAAATGGTAAAATGAGAATTAGATTAGTTTATTGTCATTACATAATGCAAGCAGAGTGTAATGAAATTAGGAGGGTCTAACCAGAGTGCAAACAGTCAGTTACAAACACATCTATCAGCAATCTGTACAAAATAAATGATACAAATAAAGGTAAATTGCTATATTAGAATCAGTACACCTTTTTTATCCTGTTGTAAATTAGGTTTGTGTCAGTTGCTCTATTTTAGACCACTGATTAGCTATATGTGAACAGGAAATCAACACTGACCACCGAGATAAAAATGGACGGACTTTGGACTGGGATCGTGTTTTTCCTTCAGCCGCCAAAAGTCGTAAAGCCAGTCTTAATTAGGATGTGTCTAGTCTTGTAAAAGCCAGTCCATGTAAGACAATGGGATGTGCATGTCCAATTTCCACACACAAAAAAGTGACTTTTCATTCTTGAATGATGACCAGTCAAATCTGCAGGCAGTCTGATGCTTTTTTTTTAATTACTTTTAATGCATTTTATGAACAATAATACAAGATTGTTATCGGCTTTTCTCTCCTCCACTCATAAGACGCTGTGTAAACTCAGTAAAGCTGTAATTAGTTCCAGCACATCCCCTCTGGGACCACAACCTAAATTCTGCACAAAGACCTAACTATTTGTATTTCATTGTATTATGAATGATAATGAAGCTAGTTTTCAGTGGCTCAGTAAAATGTTGTTTCTGTGACCCTCCAGTGAGGAACACATGGAGCATGGTGGCGACGGAGGGGGCCCTGGTGCAGGGGGGGTACGGCCACAGCAGCGCGTTCGACCCCAGCTCCAGAGCCATCTACATCCACGGAGGCTACAAGGCCTTCAGCGCCAACAAGTACGGGCTGGCTGGAGACCTGTACAAGTTCGAGGTGGACAAGATGAAATGGTGAGGCTCTCTTTTTGGTGCACATTTATATTGATTACACAGTAAAGTACACAAGATTGTTGTACAGTGTATTCTGATGCATTATGATGTTCAAGTGTGCAATCGTTGAGGATTACTGTTTTCATTTTTTCTTCTGAAATGCAGCATACTTTCTACCTACTCAGGCCTCTGAAATGATTCTTTAAAAAGATAGAAAATTACTATTATTGATCAATTTGTAATGAAGTTTAGCAAACAGACAGCACTTCTTATTGAGTCAAGTTAGAAAATGACTGCTGCAAGAAACAAAGATGTATTATTTAGGTTATGTTTGAGATTATACAATATGTTTAAGTCACATTGTGTCTTATTTGCAACAATAATAATGCAAAAATCATTAATCAAAAAAAAAAATTGGGCTCATAACCTTACAATGTCAAATCAAAACATATCAGCATCTGTTCAATTTGAAAATAAAATCATTTTCAGACGGTAACTATCTCTTATCAAAACAGTCTGCACTTTTAATTTTCTCAAGGTTGTACAAACAGCAACATGGAAAATAAGGTGTACTTTATACAAGTTGTCAGTATTTTAAATAACGTTTGAAGGCCTTCATTTAGCTAATTGGCTATATTTCTATAAAAAAGACTGTCTGCACTTTACCCTTAAATCCCACATTCAAGACAAAGTAACTCTCACTGCATCTGATTGATTTGTGTTCTCTATCAACCGCCATGTGTTATAAAAAGAAAATACCGTAATCCTGGGAAACATATGACATTAAATCACAATGACTAAGTCTGTTACAGAATATGAATACAATAAACCCTTTTTTACACAATGGGTTAATGCAATTCATTTGTAACAATTGTAAAATAGGGATTCTGGGAGATTTCTTACACCTGTTGCAATGAATCTGTATGCCTTGCAATAAACATTGAACGTATTGATATCAGTACTGTGAATACTGAGCATTCTTTGCATGAATTGTTCTGTGCAATGAATTCTGCTGTTAAAACTAATACAAAGCGATCATTACATCTTGTGAAAGGCAAACAAGGTTAAACAGGTCATCGAACTATAAAAACCATCATTGTGTTTGCAGGACCATTCTGAGAGACAGCGGCTTCTTCCGCTACCTGCACACAGCGGTGATGGTGAGCGGGACCATGCTGGTGTTTGGAGGAAACACACACAACGACACATCCATGAGCCACGGAGCCAAGTGCTTCTCCTCCGAATTCCTGTCCTACAGTCTGGGTCAGTAACACACACACACACACACACACACCACACACACACACACACACACACACACACACACACACACACACACACACACACACACACACACACACACACACACACACACACACACACACACACACACACACACACACAACACACACACACACGTCTGTATTTACAGCATCCACAGCAGTCTGTATTTTCAGCTTCACTCAGGCTTTTTTCTGCTAAGCATGCATCATCTTTTTTCCTCTGCATTGAGCTGCTGTGCATTCATAAACACTCAGACACACCTGGGAGCTGCTCCGTGAGACCGCAGTGTTTTGTTGTTGCACACTGAGCGACTCGACTGAAGTAAGAGAAGGTCAAATGTCACTGCTCGATGTACACAGGCGGTAAACCACAGCCACATCTCATGCTAAATATTCGAATAACGTGGTCTTACATTTTACAGCAGTGCAGTGTGGTGTTGCATGTTAAGCCAGACTAACCTTTCCTGGATAGAGGAAGTGAGGAATATTGTGCTCTTGGAAATTACTCAGTGGTTTATTAATGTGCATATTAATGCTGTTATGATGGCTGCCAGCGCTCGCTGTCTGGAGTATATTTAATCCTAATCTCAGACTGGATTTCTGAATGAAGTCATTTTTCTATTGATCTGAAACGTTTCTGTTTCGTTCCCTCCTGACTGCCAGTGGCTGTAAACAAAGTGGATGTAACTCCTCAGAGGTTGAGATCTCATGTAAACAAAGTGATGTGCAGAATTTGTAAGCGCATCCTGCTATAATTACAACATGGTAACCACAACCGGCCCCTTTGATGTTCATGCTGTTATACTGACGTAGGTTAAGTGCGTCATAAGCTCCTTGTTCCAGTTCTGTATTTTGCAGATTGAACAGTCTGTGGTTTGGTGTTTGTCCCCCTGTGTGTGACTATATGGTCACAGTGCTGCTTGTTGCTCTCTGGCTGTGGTTAACAGACTATCCTGCGTCTTATTTGTTACCAACTTGTTGTGTCACCTCGGTAAGAGATGGTCAAACTGATGTTGTCAACCCTGTTCACAAATTTTTGGTGGTCTGGATTAGCTCCTTTAGTTCGTATACATGGTCATCTTGTGGCATATAACAAACCTGGTTAGAGTCTGGACTCAATGTGCGATGTGTTTTGTAAAAGTCAAAGATGATACAAAGCTACACAAAAATAATGTATTTTTTATATAACATTTGTCTAGCCTTAGCGACCACTCAAACTGCTTAACAACACATACCAGCAATCACCCATTCACACACACACTTTCATACACTGGAGGCAGATGCTACCATTCGTCTGTTGAGTGATAAACATTCACACACATTCACACACATAATGAACAGCCATTAGGAGCAGTTTATGGTTCATTTCAGCCACTTCAATATGTAGACTGGCTGAGTCACAGCTGCCGTGTGTCATAAAACATATTGAAATGAAAACATACAAGCTATGAAGAGCAATAATACAATGAATGACTGCTCGGAAATACTACACCTATACTTTTGGAAGAGATGTCCAAGTAATAATAATTCATAATAATAATATTATTAATGATAATAAAATATAAGAGCTGGAATAACAAGATAAATCATAGAAAAATATAACTAAAATAATGTAAAAATAAGGAGTGCAATAGTTAGTCCACTCATTAAAGACACAAGGAATAAATACAAGAAAATGTAAAAAAATAATAATACAAAATAATACAATGTACCTAAAAATGATTCAAAGACAAATGAAAGTGGGAAATTCCTAATTGAAAAGACATCTAAGAAAGTTGTCTTCTTTCTGATGTCCAGAGAAACAATCTTCTACCTCTCCTGCTGAAAACACTTTCTGCTGGGAGAAGTTTACTTAGCATTTAATACATCCTGAAGTCTGTGTTTTCTTCACATTAGTACTGGAAAGTCAGGTCAAGTCTAGAGGGGAAGACGTGCATCAGATGTTGTGGCATTAACCTGAGCTGCAGTTCACACTCGCCCCCCCGAGGATCTCTCTGTGAATGAACGAATAAATAAATGAAATGATCAGAGCTTAATAAAGGAAACACTAAACTAGTCAGTCTGGGTTTAACACTGGTTGCTTTGGGGACCTCTCTGATGTTTATTCTTTTGCTCACCTCTCCGTACTGCTAAGGTGCCCTTAATCAACATGCTTAACCTCAGTTTGTTTAACACAGCCGCTCAACAGCAGAGAGAGAGAGAGACTGTTACCCCATGTTTATCAGTGTGAAGCAGGGTGTGGGTCAGAAAATGTGTTTTCTGTCTTCGACGATCAAAAGAGGAGATTGTAGCACGCTTTTTTTGCATTCTAATTATAATCCCATTTAAAGCTCTCTGGTGTGTCCTTATAGAAGTTCGCACAGCTTTGTCAGAACCCATAACAGCATCCTCATTTTATCAGGCGCTCGCAAATATTGTTCTAAATTGAGTCTGCGTGCCTCCGCAGCGCTGTCATAAGCTGCTCATTAATGGGAGGTTCAGTCTGTCTGGAGTGGAAGGAGAAGTCCCTGCTGGCCGGGAAGCGGCCTCCTGGGCGTGTCATAACCAAAGTGATCGACAGACAGCCAAATGACAAACTCATAGCCAAAACACCCCCTCCCCTTACTGTGCAATGAGATTTAGTTTGTTCATGAGAATTGCATGTTGGGATGAAATATCCCCGACAAATGTCCCTTTTTGGAGCTCATAGATAAGATAAGACATGATGAGATCAGAGCTTTATTGATCTCCGCAGGGAAATTCAGGTGTCAAGGCAGTAACAGCAAACAAGAGATAAGGAAAACAGTATAGGGCAGATTAGAGTACATACTGGGATAATAATAATAATAAAAGGGAGTACAACATATGTAAGTTACTGTATACATTTAAAATAACAACAATATAATTTGGAGCTTAAACTGTTATATATTTAATGTTACTGCATATGCGTGTCCAAGATAAGTGCATATGGTGCAAGGCATGTACTGTACCTAAGGTTATAGGGCCCTGGTATGTTACTTTCAGGTTCATATTTGGATTTTGTGCCTTTACTCTGACATGTTTCCATGCTTTGATGTTCAAAAAGCTCTTTATTCTTCTCTTACGGCCCGTCCACACTACAGCTTCGACAGCTTCAAAAACGGTTTCCAACGCGTCTGCCCATTCACTTTGAATGGGGTGACGTCACGTTGCCTCGCTTTTCGCCGAACTGAATTGTGGGTAGCATAGCGGTCCGTCTCCGGCGTCAGAAGTTGAACAATGTTCAACTTCTGACACCGGAGACGCCGGAGTAGCCAGCGCCAGCCAATCAAATCATATGCCAGTACAAGCTCTAGCCAATCAAACCGCTGCTTGTGTGTCAGGGGCGAGAGATTCATGTGATTGGTTGTTGGTCGAGCTTCAGACGCGCCCAGCTCCAAGCTTTTTTTTTAAGCTGTAGTGTGGACGGGCCGTTACTGCCATTTTTTAAAAGTTAGTAAAGTTATTATTAAAGAGTGCTGTGGAGAAAAGATGACAGTGAAGGCAGCACATGAAGAGGCATTCATTGAATTTTCAGCATATTGTCCTGCTTTTACATTTACCACATGATTGGCATGATAAAACTAATTCATCCCACTCTGGTGGTCACCACGGGAAACAAATTGTTTTCATGATTTCCCTTGAGATTTGACACTTTAGTCAAACTTTAGAAATTAAAAACTGTGTTTATCTCCCCTCCCACCACTCTACCTCTCCTCCCTGCTGCTGCTCTGTATAATTTTGTAATTGGACAGAAAAGACTAGTAGAATAGTATTTTCCTCACCCCGGCCCCCCCCCCCACCTGCCAGCTGCAGGTCGGTGTCAGCAGCAGCCGCTCTGTAATTGCCTGGTAATTACAGCAGAGATGGGCTGTGCGTCCAGGACTAATCGCCCCCTCCTTAACGAGCTGAACTCAATTGGAGCGTAGAATTAAAGGCCCGTCCGCCGTCCTGACATTGGTGGATGGTGTCATAATAAATCTCCTCTGACAGGCAATGCACCACCTGCAGTACTGGCGTGTGCCAGCAGAGGACAGTGTCTACCTGTGGATGTGGAGCTCCTGCGGATGTCATTCTGTGTGAGCATGATGACTTGCACTGCATTGTTCTGGCTGAAGGAGATTTACTGCACTCGCTGCTCGGGATCCTGCAGCTTTGACTTTCAGCCTCACATGCCACGACTCTTTATTGTTGTTGTTTGTTTTGTTTGAACATGATCATGATGGGTGAACACTGTCATCTACTGCTGCAGCTTCATTAAACAACAACCATACATGAATTCATCACCTTATTCATCAATGTCTTCACCCAGTAAGCAGTGAGTGACTCAATGTCTGGGGTAAAACTGGGCTAAATCTTGCCAAATTAAAGTTTGTTTGGCATTGTTTTCTGCTGAAACAATGGCTATATATAATTTAAACATTAAGTCCAAGGTTCTAACCTAGAGATCAGGATCCCTAGTTAATTAATGGGATCAATGATACAAGCTCATTTCTATAACCCAAAATGTGTTTACCTATTCTGAAACATTTTATTAGTTTCTCCTTTTATTTTCCCTCTTTTATTGAATGGCTCAAAATGTATGTCAACATAAAGGCTTTAACCATTTTTAAGGGGGTCACAAGTCTTGAAACACGTGGTCTAAACAACTTCATCCTTGCTGCTGTTTTTACAAGAAAACTCCTGAATAACCTGAATCAAACTGCACTCTGCTATTCCATGGGAGGAGTAAGAAAGGAAATGTGAAAAAGGTCAGTTTTGGGAGTTGAAACTAGTTCTTGCTGTGATCTACAGTATCAGTGATAATAACCTCATGCACTGTGTTGCATTCAGTCCCCACATGAGACCATATTTCATGAGTGTATTTATTTCCACATGCCAGACATGCCTGGCTGCATTTTCTCACCCTGATTGTTGCTCCTGCAGCTGCCGGTGCCTCGGTCAAGGACGCTCTGCAGGCTGACATTGATTGACATGGGGATACGAGCTGTTAGAGGTCTCGCTAACCACCCATGGCATGTCAGCCGAATGTCCACGTGCTGAAGACCCAAATTATTCAATATGTGAGAGCAGGTCATCAGTCTGACCTCTCCGTGCCTCTTCTCATTGCAGCGTGTGATGAGTGGACAGTGCTGCCTCGACCGGACCTCTTCCAGGACGTCAATCGCTTCGGACACTCGGCCGTCATCAGTGACAGGTAATCATTTATGCAGCACCTACTGAAGCTAACAGCTGCACAGAAAGGCTGTATGGAGAGTGTGGAGCATGTATTTTCGGCTAAACTAATGGAACAAAATTGAACAAAATAGGTTAAAACCGCAACACAGGATCTTATCTACAAAAGAAACTTGCACACACAAATACACAGAGTATGAAAGGCATGGTATTCATCCCTTAGAGTCCCACAGATTTGTAAAATAAGCTAAAGAACATTCTGATATTCTGGAGGCTTTCATTGGCAAAACACTCAGACACCAACACCTTTTGCTTCTTTTAATTTGTCCCTTTTACATCAAAAATCTACTACTTTTTAATAAAATAGGGAGGGAGTTAGTATGGGAGGAATCTGCAGTGCATGCTCTCAGATGTTCAGCCTCAACCTGATTTCTCTCAGTGACCTTGTTTCTGGAGTCACTGCCTTTATTTCCACTGGGGTTTACTCATGTTTAATTATGCACTCTCATTTAAAGACATGTCCTACTGGAATATGACATACAAACAAACATGTTAAGTACATATCTGCCTCTGATGTAAATACGAGCCGGGATGTCGTATATTATGCATTCCGCTAAGTTTTTCATTAAGGGACTCCTCAGCTTTTCAAATGGGAAATTTCAGTTTTCTTGGATCCTTTCCTTGCTTTCTTTATTCATGATCACCTATCTGTGCACGTTACAGTCCAGATGCTCTCTGAATCATTTGATCAAACTCGATATGCAATCTACGGTGGCTGACGGGCGCAAACCCTAGACTGTATATATAAGGTGCAAACGCGCTACAACGGCCCAAAACACTCCAGAAAGAAGTAGTAATATCTGAAGGACTGATCCGTTCACATTGTAACACCGTAATGATCGGACACATCCTTTGTTGAAAAAGAACATTTCCAACATACTGTAAACTCTGTGGCCGCAAACACTTAGAGCCAAGGCCAACTGACAGAGACAGAAAAAATCCCCTGTGCGTTCATACATGACATTTCATTATTAGCCTGCGATGTGAATAGATTGTGAAAGTGATGGTGCTGCGACCAGAAGGGATGACTCATCGGTAAGTATTATCTGCACCGCCAGCAGAGCAAGAGACAGCGATCCATATTAAATTATACATGGTGTTGTAGAGAACGCATCAAATATTAACACGAATCACCAGCCCTGTTGGAGTCAATCCTCACTGACGACTCCTCAGGACCAATTAAGAGTTCATTCATGCATTGGTTCATCGATTCGTTTCAGATTCAACACAATCTCAGGCACACTTTGGAGTGAAGTTAAGTTGAGCTTTACTTAAATACAATGTTGGCTTTGGAAAGAAAACATGTCATAGCACTTTGCATTAAGGCTTGAAAAGAAAATATTTCTTATAAACGTACTTCAACTTTTTATTGTATAACATTGTTTACAATTGTTTTTCTAATAGTTCTATATTTGCTTTTATTTTACAACTTAATTATTCTTACCATTTTATGTATGCACCATTATACATCAAATCAAGTTCCCTGTATGTGTCGCTTTGTAATTTTAATCCTGAATCCTAAATAAATATGGAGATTTAGTCCAAAATAAACTGGTCAACAAAAGATAGTTTGCAATATATTCTCTAAAAAGTTATTCCAAACACAAAGACATAGGAGTTTTAGTTTGAATGTTCAAGGTAAAGTACTCATGTTATAAAATATGGAGGCATCACCTACTCCAATCCCCTCTTTGCATTGGCCTCAATTTGATTTGAAAATGTATTTTTTTTGTTTTCTCATAGTTCTCAAGTTCACATATTGAGTGCTGATGCTCCTCAGATCATAATACAATGGGTAGCAATCCCCCGGTCTAGACCAAAGGAGACACTGAAGGCAAGAGGAATGCTTTCACTGTCAGTGCCTCCAACTCTGCAACACTCTTCCTTTAGAAAGGTATCTTTAAATCTATACTAAAAATAATAGTTTTCTAAACCTCACTTTCTGTATTCAGCTATTTTTTTGTATAATTGCATTCTTTTATTTATTTTTATTTAACCAGATAAAAGCATTGAGATAGAATCTCATTTGCAATGCTGACCTGGCCAAGAAGGCCGCAACGTTACACATAACACAGACATATAAAATACAGAGAACATAACTAAGAAAACAAAAGACAAAAAAGCAGTCACTACATTGAGCACATTAGGACAGTAAGAAAGGTGCACTAGTTATTACTGCAAGAGCAGAGTGGTAAGGACTTCAACTTCAATTTAAAACATGCTATTGAGACAAGTGCCGTCAGTTTGAGGCGTGATTGAAGGTCATTCCAAGACCAATGACCATAATAAAAAGACTCCTTTTCCCAGCCTCCGTCCGCACCGCAGGAACCCGTATCCAGGCACTGGATCTGAGGTTGTAAGAGTCACAAACTGGAGCAAATCTGGCACATATGTACAGTGGAAGCTTACCTAAAATGGCTTTATACATTAATAAAAACCAATGCTGCATCCTACGCATAGTAAGTGATAAACAATAAATGATATTGTTTCAGGGACTAAGAAACCAAAACAAAATGAAATACTTTTTCATTTATAATACATAATAAGTCAGAAGAAAAAACTAAATCATTGTATAGGATATAGTTAACAGCTAAAGGATACCTCATGAATTCTCCTGTGCACATCAATTGTCCCATCTTAACCCAATGGTATACCTTACCTATTTCTCCATCTTTCGCCAAAAGATATTTTTTCCATGCCATATATTTCATTTACAAGATCCTCCCATTTAGAGTTAATAAGGTTATCATCTTTGAATATCTGCTTACTATGAAATAATAATTATTCTTGATCTCTACTGGTGTTTTTCCAAGTAGTCATTGGTCTTTCTGTGTGTTGCCTTTTTTAAACTTCTATAACTTTAGTACATTCGTTCATGGTCTTAATCGTCCTTTGCTTCTTTGCAAAGACTCCCATCTCTTTAAATTAGGAAGAAAGGAAGCGGATCAGTTTTGGTCCCCTGTAAACACGTTTCTATTCTCCTCCTTCTGATGGGAGACGCAGCAGGATGTCCAGAGTGAGCGGTTTGAAGTCTGCCCTCTGTGATCCGACGAGACTTTTGATCGGACGGGTGCAAATTATCCATCCGCCCACTCTGCCCAGCCAATGCCGCCAACACACACACACACACACACAACACACACACACACACACACACCACACACACACACACACACACACACACACACACACACACACACAACACACACACACACACACACACATACACATACACATACACATACACATACACATACACATACACATACACATACACATACACATACACACACACACACTAATCCCAGCGGAGAGAGATGTTCAGATATGCCCTGTACACACTAGGGGTGTTGAAAATAATTGTTTCTACGATGCATTGCGATGCGGACGATTCGGTCTCGATGCAGTGACGGAAGATAATCGGTTATAGCGTAGTAACGTTGCTTCCTGATTTTCCGGCCGCGGCTTTACTATAACGTTTTTTTTTTTCTGTCACTTTAATATCAAATCGGTCGGTTACGCAGAGATCAGGGAACAGACGTGACAGCGGCACAGCAACACCAAACACGGAGCAGTCTGCTTTATCCACAAACACAAGAACACCAGTCCAGAACCAACAGCAGAAGGACCCGCTCTGAATCACTCCGTGTCGCTGCGGCTCAGGGATTTATGTTTTTCAAAATAATCGCGTTACAATCATGTCAGGTTTTTGGTGGATTTAATTAAGTCTTGGATTGCAGAGTATGAATGTCCTCTAGCAATTTTCAGACGATATATACGTGTGTAAAGTTTGTGAAGGCAGGAGGAAAAAAGCTCCCGCGATCACCGTCTCCTCTGTTCCTCTAAGCCCCGCCCCCTCCCTGAAAATAATGAGTGACAGGCTGATTGTGACCCGATAGAAACTTTATTATTCACTTAATCACTGAGATATAATGAAGCTAACTTAATCTCATACATTCATGGGGTTTATGTAACAGTAAGACAGAGAATGTAAGTGTGCACCCACATGCACTATTTTAGTTGTTATATGCTGTTGTAAATACTCCTGTTGTCTGCTGTGTTCAGACTCAAGTCCTGTGTGTGATGCCACATTCAGGACATTCAGTGTCCTGTGTGTGATGCCACATTCAGGACATTCAGAGTCCTTTTTTTTAAACAGAAGACCGTAGCTAGAAGCTGCAGCTAGACTGCAGAAGCATTATTTTTTTGTTTTGAGGATGGAACAACTTCATACACAGATATAGGGAGGCTAGACCTATACAATTCATTTATTTTGGTTTATAAATGAATGTCAAGACATTTATGTTATTGATTTCTGAAGCACTTTCTAAATAATAAAAAGAGAGTTCATATGTATTTACTGCATGTATGCATTGATGAAAAATAAGCCATGTGCAGTAATATAGAAAATTGAGGATGCAACGCATTGGTACGAATCGTGATGCATCGGGATATCGAATTGAATCGAATCGTTGACAGGATAATCGTAATCGAATCGAATCGTGAGACCAGTGAAGATGCACAGCCCTAGTACACACACACATACACTCACACACATATACACTCACACACAGCAGGGTGGTCTGTCAGGGTCATCCTCACAGGAAGAGAGCGCTTGTTGGGGATTTAGCAGACTTGTGAGACAGGCTGAAGCCGGAGAAGAGGAAGAGCACTCGGCCTAAGCTTCCCTGGCTCTCACTGTGCACAAAAGGTTGAAACCAGGGAAGATTGAAGCGGAAATCACCTGGTTTTACTTCCTGAATCCCTTACATCTCCTCACCACCTTCCACTGTAGCCTTCTGACATCTCCCCCTCTCTCATATTTCAGCGTGATGTACGTGTTCGGAGGCTTCAACAGCCTGCTGCTCAGTGACGTCCTCATGTACACGTCGCCCAGCTGCGCCGCCTTCTCCAGCCCGGCGTCCTGCAGCCAGGCCTGGCCCGGGATCCAGTGTGTGTGGAACAGCACCCAGGAGAGCTGCCTGCCCTGGGAGAGCAGCGCTATCGGAGGGGAGCAGCAGCAGCTCCTGGCCTCCTGTAACACACGATCATGTAGGTGACACCGCCATCGCTTTGAAATGCTAAACTGCTGCACGTCTGCCATGTGAAACTAATCCCAGATTATTTTAGATCCTCGCTGTCTTTGTGTTGAGTGTCTGCAGAGCTCATCTGCATTCATAACACTGATGTCCAACGGCATGCACAAACTGGCAGAAAGGGCTTGTTTGTAACAGACTGCCAAAGCAGGGAAAATGGGGGAAAGAATGTCACCATGATGATGCTTGTGTGATACTGTGCTGCAACGGGATCAATTCATTAGCTGTTCAACAGGAAATTCACAATTTGCCTTGCTGCTGATTTCTAATATGTTTACAGTTAGTTAAAAAAAAACATCAAAGCTATTTGAAAATATCAACATACATTTTTTTTAATTGGCCTTTTTCAAGATTGTCTGGACTATTTATCCATCAATGAATTCAAATGGAAAAAGAGAATACTCAACTCCACCAAAATGCAAATGAGCTTATGACTTTTGGAGCGAGTGCTACAGTAGCTACTTTAATGTGAAGTTGGCAACACATCACAGGACACAGTGCATTCTGTTTCCCTTGGATTTGTGCCGTAAGTGGAGTTCGCATCTGTCCGGGGCTTTTACCCATATCCACTCCAAACACAAATGGTGTCATCATCCTATAGCCATTACATTGTGTATTCAATATTTAGTTTATGATGATAAGGTAAAGCAACCCTTGTCTATTCCCACTTTAACAAGCAGCAGATGAATAATAATGTCAACTTGACGCATATGTCATTTAAAGTGTAAACCATACATTTCTACCTCATTGGGAAAATCGTGACATGGATTTTTTACTGTTATTTGCCAATTTGAAAACTAGATAATAATTTAATCAACAAATGAATTAAAACAATCTTAATGGTAATAGTTGTTATCCTAAGGCTGTGAATTTTAACTTTTAAGTCATTTTCTTTAAAATGACAGTTTGTTCTAGTTCTCAGGGTTTACAGCCTGTGTGTGTGTGTTGTATATGTGTGTGTGTGTTGTATATGTGTGTGAGTGTGTTGTATATGTGTGTGAGTGTTGTATATGTGTGTGAGTGTGTTGTATATGTGTGTGAGTGTGTTGTATATGTGTGCGAGTGTGTTGTATATGTGTGTGAGTGTTGTATATGTGTGCGAGTGTGTTGTATATGTGTGTGAGTGTGTTGTATATGTGTGCGAGTGTGTTGTATATGTGTGTGTGTGTTGTATATGTGTGCGAGTGTGTTGTATATGTGTGCGAGTGTGTTGTATATGTGTGCGAGTGTGTTGTATATGTGTGTGAGTGTTGTATATGTGTGTGAGTGTGTTGTATATGTGTGTGAGTGTGTTGTATGTGTGTGTGTGAGTGTGTTGTATGTGTGTGTGTGAGTGTGTTGTATATGTGTGTGTGTGTTGTATATGTGTGAGTGTGTTGTATATGTGTGTGAGTGTTGTATATGTGTGCGAGTGTGTTGTATATGTGTGTGAGTGTGTTGTATGTGTGTGTGTGAGTGTGTTGTATGTGTGTGTGTGAGTGTGTTGTATGTGTGTGTGTGTGTGTGTTGTAATGTGTGTGTGTGAGAGTGTTGTATATGTGTGCGAGTGTGTGTCAGATAGCAAGATGTGATCATCAGAGGCAGCTCAGCCAGTCTCTCTGCCTTCCCCCGCTGAGAGAATTATTTTCTGTTTGCTGTTTGCCATTTGTCACAAAGAATCCTCAGTTTCCCCAACACGGGCACTCTCATTTCCCGGCGTGGGGGTCTGAGGAAGCGGTGGCAGATGGAAACTGCTCCCCGGAATATCTTTCAGCCACGTTTAATACCAGAGAGGCTCCCCGCTCTGCTGCTGTCTGCCAGCCTCCCTGCCCCAGTTTCCCCAGAAGAAAGCTCATGTCCAGGAAGTGTTGACAGATCAGCGGTCCACAGCAGGACGAGAATTACTTAAAGTGCCGTATGAGAAATGAACCAGAACTAAAGGCAAGGCAAGGCAAAGCAAGGCAAGGCAAGTTTATTTATATAGCACTTTTCAAAACAAGGCAATTCAAAGTTCTTTACAAAAAATGAAAGACATTAAGAAAAGGGCATTTAAAATCAGTCATTTAAAAGAAAAGCTAATAAAATAAACATTAAAAGAAAAAATACATGGATAAAAGTTACAGTGCAGTTTAAGATATGAATAGTTCAATTAAAATCAGCGACAAAAAGAAAAGAGACTCCATATGCTTCCATTTTTAGAGCCGTAGGTGAAATATTTAATGTGATATGGTGTAAAGTAAATACAGTCAAATTAGCTGCTCCATGACTTGACATTATTAAATCAGTAATAATAGTCCAATATTAAGTAAATGATTGGGATAATTCATCCACAACTGGTGTCAACTCAATGCTGCGACCCATCATTTTGAATCATTGCTTCAAAATAGTTTTAAAATGATCAAACGACAATAAAAATGTAACAATGTGAGACCAGGTATTCGGGTTAAAAACTTTGCCCACACTCTTGTAATATTCATTTACTTTCTGCGTGTCCTTTTTATATAACTTTAAATAGTTTTTAGGGCAAACCTATTTAAAGTCCATGTTCTTCCAACTGTTGCAGATGCAGACAGTGAGAAGTGTGACCAGTACACAGACTGCTACAGCTGCGCCGCCAACACCAACGGCTGCCAGTGGTGCTCCGGTCAGTGCCTGTCTCTGGGGAGCAACTGCACCTCCGCCACGGTGAGAAAACACTGCTAACCCTGCAACTCCAACATCAAAAAACACAGTCCTAACTGTCTCTTAAAATACTTGAAATTCATTGAAATGTAGGCCTAAAGTACAGTTGCACTACCGTTGTGTTCACTGCAAATGTTCAAGAATGTCAATGGAATATGTTTACGTTTTGCTCAGAGGGAGAATGTCACCACAATTAAAAATAATTATAATAATTCAATTTGGAGTACATCAAAGAAGCAAGAAGAAAGCAAAGCGTTAATTGCACATTAGTTACATTTCTTTACAAAAGACTTGGGGTAAATATATTGTTAATTGTATTTTTCCTGACTAAAAGACAACGCTTTCATGTTATAGGAATTAACACATGCTTTGTGTTACTATTAAGTTTAAGGCCTTGGATAGGTATGTGGAGGACATTTCTGCAGATGTATATTTCCTTTATAATGCTATAGTTTGACCACAAAATACAAATTGGTATAACATTTATTTCTATGGTAAAAAAAGGGTTTAAAAAGTCTTCCATTTAACTGCATCTGCTCCTCACTTACAGCAGTTTAAAATGTACGATTAAAAGGCATTATTTAGTGAAGGTCTCTTTGAAACACAGTGATGAATGTTTGGACATTATGAGTTTCTTTGCAACTCCATTAGCTTTTCTCAGATTGTATCCATTTTAAATGAGACACAAAAGTACTCTTTAATTTCCTCCAAGAGTTATTACACCCTATAAATCGAGACGTATCAAATTTGAGTGATGACTAGATAAAGGGCTGATGAAGCACGCTCTCGTCTCCTACAGTGAATCTGATCGGTCAATCTGCGGTTAAATGGCTTCTCAGTCAAATGCAATATGATGCCAGAAGATAGTTCATGTGTCTCCTCCAGCGCTCCTATCTGCACTCGATATCTCCAGCTGTGATGACCTGGCTTTCTAATCAGCTGCATGGTCAGGAAGAAAACAATCCATTTAGATACAAGAGTCTTTCTTCATAAAATCTTTCCATTAGATATGTTTCAAATGTTACTGATCTAGAATATTTAGTTGCCTTCTATTGATAATGAAACAAGACATTTATGGAGCATGAATCATATTGATTTGTTAGTTTGAGTTATTTTTCTGCTTTCTCTTCCCAGGGGGCCATAGCAGAGATTGAAGTTTGTCCCAAATACAACCCGTCATCGGTGTGCAACAAGAAAACCAGCTGTAAGAGCTGCGCTGTGGACCAGAACTGTCAGTGGGAGCCCCGCAACCAGGAGTGCATCTCACTGCCAGGTAACGGTGGGAATACAAACATTACTTCACAGGCAGAGGAAATGTAAAGTATTTACAATTTTGGTGTTAGTTTCATCATCGCCTTTTTGGCCATCTATCATCACTTATGGGAACAGTTTATGCCCCAAGGCTTTTATTGGTCATACGTACGTAGCTACAGTGTAGTTATGACGATGAAAATCTTAGGTCACAGGCTCCTCCAACAGTGCAACACAATAAAACAGAAAAACAGAAAAAATAGTTCAAGTAAATACAAAAAGAAAATAGGAAAATTGTGCAATAAGAGTCTATATGCAAGTGGTTGGATTGGATTGGATTTATTAATAAGAGTTGGGGATGCATCACCAATAACCAAGCTTGTATGATGATATGGTCAAATATTTATATATATGGAGAGAGATGTTCCCTTACAGGTTCCATCGTAAAGTTGGAAACCAATATGTTGGATTTCGCTATATTTAACCTGCAGGACGTTGATCAGAACTATAATTGCAAAATTAGACTAATTTAAAGAGGATACAACATTATATAATATTTATTATATCATACTGGTTTTAATTTAAGTTAGATTCAATGTGACAGTACTTCCTACATTTGACAATGTGTATGTCCCTTTATGGCTGTGATTCCTTTCCTGTGGTAACCTGTCGATACAAGTATTGAAAATGATGTTGGATAATCAAATAAAAGTTGTCCTATTCATAATCTGTCAACTCATTGTTCAAACCCATATGTTCTCTACTTCTCATCTAATTACTTTTTTTCCCTTCTCCATTCTAGAAAACGTGTGTGGTGAGAGCTGGCACCTTGTTGGAAACTCCTGTGTGAAGATCATCACGGCGAAGGACTCGTACGACAATGCCAAGCTGGCCTGCCGGAGCCACAACGCCGTGCTCGCCTCGCTCACCACGCAGAAGAAGGTGGACTTTGTGCTGAAGGAGCTGCAGATCATGAGCGTGGTGGTAAGTGGGAGGGGGGGACAGTCCTGGATATCCCCTGAATTGATCAATCAGATTGGAGCATTTTAATGATTAAAATCGTACATCAAGAAGTTTGCATCGATATCTATAATCATCAACGGTGGAAGAAGAGTTTAGATATTTTTGCTTAACTTAAATTAAGTAGAAGTACAAAGGTATTGGCAACAGAATATACAAACAATATCAAAACTAGAAGTACTTAATATACATAATGGCCTTGTCAAACACATGTATGTGAATAACAAGTACTGTAAGCGCTTCTGAGATATAGAGGGGGTAGAAGTATAAAGCAGCTCTAAATGAATATATATATCCTTTATTTAACCAGGTAAAAGACTCATTGAGATTAAAGTCTCTTTTCCAAGAGTGACCTGGCCAAGAGGGGCAGCATGTACGAAGTTACAACAGATAAAACACAGACATGACTAGGGTTGGGAACCGAAACTCTGTTCCAGATGAGAACCGATAAGAAAATGCCGGGTACCGGGTACCCATACAAAATACACAATTTCGGTTCTGCTTAACGGTTCCTAAACGCGGTAGACCCTGTATTCCACCGGGTCCGTCTGCGCCGCGGTGACCCGGTGGAATACAGGGTAGGCGGACTGGCCATCTGTGTGTTCTGGAGAATCACAGAACGGCCGGTCGTCAGCGGGCCGTTGACGGCCGGCTCGGTACGCTGACGGCCGGCACCGCCCTTAATTTCTTTAAACGGCATCATGTAAGTTGCGCTGACAGGCGACAGAGGTCCACAGTTGCCCCGCAGCGAGGCTCCCCCCGCCTCCAGTAGACAGTTCACGAGCTCAGTCAATTCATAACACCAAAGATGGGTCGCGGTAAACGCTCTGAAGTGAGGCTCCACTACACTAAAAAAGAAAAAGACAAGGCACAGTGTAATGCCTGTTAACAGCTTGCCACAGGCATAGCTCAGTTAAAATAAAGCACAGCTATTGTGCAATACATTTGTATTGCATGTATATTTTTTTATTTGTAAAAATGTCAGTTAAAGCTTAAAACAATAAAGATATTTTGTTATCTAAACGTTTGACCTCTTTCTTTTACAATTTTGGAATCGAAACGGGGAATCAATAAGAACCGGAATCGATAAGTAAAACCGGAATCGGAATCGATACATTTCAAAGGGATACCCATCCCTAGACATGACAGGCAGACAAATGCAGCTGTAAAACACAAATAAAATGGCACATTAGCCAGTCAATATGCGAAGTAAAACAAACTATTACAAATCATTCAACCAATGGTGTCGTGTTCTCTGTCCTTTAAGATGGACCTGAATTCCCCCATAGTGATTTAAATCTGAGAGTTTCAGCTCCTTCTGTACATTGTTCCAAGCTGTGGGGGCAGCATATTTAAAAGCTGTTTTACCCAGTTTTGTTCTCACTGTAGGAACCAGCATCTGAATAAAATCTTGGGAGCGCAGGCCATATAGACTTTCTCTTTGACACATACAGTGGGGCAAAAAAGTATTTAGTCAGCCACCAATTGTGCAAGTTCTCCCACTTAAAAAGATGAGAGGCCTGTAATTTTCATCCTAGGTACACTTCAACTATGAGAGACAGAATGGAGGGAAAGAATCCAGGAAATCACATTGTAGGATTTGTAATGAATTAATTGGTAAATTCCTCTGTAAAATAAGTATTTGGTCACCTACAAACTCCACTATGGCCAAGACCAAAGAGCTGTCAAAGGACACCAGAAACAAAATTGTAGACCTGCACCAGGCTGGGAAGACTGAATCTGCAATAGGTAAGCAGCTTGGTGTGAAGAAATCAACTGTGGGAGCAATTATTAGAAAATGGAAGACATACAAGACCACTGATAATCTCCCTTGATCTGGGGCTCCACGCAAGATCTCACCCCGTGGGGTCAAAATGATCACAAGAACGGTGAGCAAAAATCCCAGAACCACACGGGGGGACCTAGTCAATGACCTGCAGAGAGCTGGGACCAAAGTAACAAAGGCTACCATCAGTAACACACTACGCCGCCAGGGACTCAAATCCTGCAGTGCCAGACGTGTCCCCCTGCTTAAGCCAGTACATGTCCAGGCCCGTCTGAAGTTTGCTAGAGAGCATTTAGACGATCCAGAAGAGGATTGGGAGAATGTCATATGGTCAGATGAAACCAAAATAGAACTTTTTGGTAAAAACTCGTGTTTGGAGGAGAAAGAATGCTGAGTTGCATCCAAAGAACACCATACCTACTGTGAAACATGGGGGTGGAAACATCGTGCTTTGGGGCTGTTTTTCTGCAAAGGGACCAGGACGACTGATCCGTGTAAAGGAAAGAATGAATGGGGCCATGTATCGTGAGATTTTGAGTGACAACCTCCTTCCATCAGCAAGGGCATTGAAGATGAAACGTGGCTGGGTCTTTCAGCATGACAATGATCCCAAACACACCGCCCGGGCAACGAAGGAGTGGCTTCGTAAGAAGCATTTCAAGGTCCTGGAGTGGCCTAGCCAGTCTCCAGATCTCAACTCCATAGAAAATCTTTGGAGGGAGTTGAAAGTCCGTGTTGCCCAGCGACAGCCCCAAAACATCACTGCTCTAGAGGAGATCTGCATGGAGGAATGGGCCAAAATACCAGCAACAGTGTGTGAAAACCTTGTGAAGACTTACAGAAAACGTTTGACCTCTGTCATTGCCAACAAAGGGTATATAACAAAGTATTGAGATGAACTTTTGTTATTGACCAAATACTTATTTTCCACCATAATTTGCAAATACATTCTTTAAAAATCAGACAATGTGATTTTCTGGATTTTTTTTTCTTCTCATTCTGTTTCTCATAGTTGAGGTATACCTAGGATGAAAATTACAGGCCTCATCTTTTTAAGTGGGAGAACTTGCAAAATTGGTGGCTGACTAAATACTTTTTTCCCCCAGTGTATGTGCAAATGTAGGAGGGAACCAACCCAAGCAGAGATTTAAGAATGAAGAAAGTAAAGTACAAGTATCAATTGTACAGTCAAAACAATTTACAGTGCAGTGCTCCAGTAAAAGTTACTTTCCACCACTAATAATTATACATCAGCTACATAAATAAGAATATACTGTTCAGATTGCCTCTTCCATGTTATAGTAGACAAAACAAAACTAACACCACATATACAAAAAAATGGTGTTTGTGGTTTGCTGCCCTCTTTAAAATGCTGCTTGTTATCTCCAGGTGAGCTCTGTGTTATTATCTTTGTCTTAATTCCTTGGAGTAGTGAGAGTGAAACAAATCTACCACTAACAGATTATTTCCTCCGACATCTTTTACTCGCTCCATTCGAGCAAATACACAGAAATCTATCCCCACGATCAACTGTAATCATCAGATGCAGGTCACATACCACAGATGTGAGAATGACTGTTGGCTTTCATCTTTACATCCAGTTTGTACACAGCCATAACACACATGGGATATGAAAACAAGTCGAGATATGCAAAGGTTGCATTTTACCCAGAGATGCAGCACGCAAAGTGATTAACTAAATGAATACTGAATGTGTTCGTCTTTGAAGATATTTGCTTGGCCTTGTAGCTTTTCTCATGGTTGCTTGTAATGATGGTAATTAACCCATTTCAAAGTTGGTTCATATATGAATTGTAATTTAATGTAAATTAATAACACCCAGTTGCATTGAGGTCAATGAGGATGGGACTAAGTCTGGTGCTTAGCAAAGAAAAACAAATACATATAAATTAAACATAATAGAATCTGCGTAACTTACCTTTTATTTATTTTGTAAACGGGAGTTTTACAATTACATTTGATTAACCATATTTATGTGAAAAGATTAATAGAGAATTATTTGGAAACTATTTAGATTATTCATAAATACTTACTAATTACCATGAATACCAACAATTCTCCAATAAGAGGATTATCTGCTATGTCTTTAAAATCGTTGTAAACAAATTATTTTAAATGGTTAATCAGAAAATAAGACGACATTTGATGACCTTACCGTCGCATCTAGAATTGGCCATTTCCTGTCCTATAATGGAAATCATACAATCCTTCATATTTCCTGAATGAATGATTATGCTCTATGGAAAGAAGTCTCACATTTTCATGCTGAGGACCCATGTTATTTGACTGATCACAGCTAAATCTGTCTAAATATTAGGGTATGTGTCTCCACTTGAGTTCACTGTGGAATTACATCATCTTGAATGTTTAAAACAAAGCACTGTGAGCTCTAATGATCTGTTCTGCACTTCACTAAAACGCGGTGTCATGTACAGCTGCAGCGCTGCTTTAGTTTCAGACACAACCACTGCCCTCCCTCACTGAAGCCTCCCGTGCTAAAATGTTACCCACTTACGATCCTACAAAGTGCGCTGGAAACCCGCTGAGCATATGTAATGTGGACGCTAAACAAGACAAAGATATTGAGTTTAAATCACAAAGTGGAGCTGGGATTGAGTGTTTTCCATCCATACTAATGAAATTGTGCAGATTTCCCCTGTTGTCTAAATTCAATTGCCATGGTCAGTTCCAGGTAATCTTTGCGCTTAAAGGCAGAGAAGAAGTAATTTCTCCAGAATAATATATGTTTTCACCCTGTCCAGTCTAACAATGAAATGCTGCACGGCCACAGAGACACGTGCTTCACAAGTCTTCCTGTCATGTTTTATAGACGCCGTTTGTGCTGTTTAGCACTTCCTACTATTTACAGACCGGATCAATCAATCCCAGAAATGCAATTAAATCCTGATGGAACAGTAATTCTCTCTTTGTTTACTACTGCTGCAATCCATTGATTAGAGATGGGACGGATAACAAAGCCTCCCAGGTGGAGGAAGTAAAGCTGCTTCTAGTGCCGCCAAGGGAAATGTATTCAGTGTAGAAGATTTATTGTTGCTCACAGCCAGCGCAAGTCGCGATTCCTGAAAGAAAACAAAACAGTCAAAAGTCCTAATTTGTTTCTTGACATGATTTTCATCAATGTCACATTAGTTTTTATTTACAGATTAATTTAACTTGTTTCTTTTTCAACCGTTTTTTTAATGAGCTTTTAACATTAGACGATGACCAAACACTAAGAGAATGTTAAAAAGCATCCATCCATCCATCCATCTTCTCCCGCTTATCCGTGGTCGGGTCGCGGGGGTAGCAGTTCCAGCAGAGAGCCCCAAACTTTCTTTTCCCTGGCGACATCAACCAGCTCTGACTGGGGGATCCCAAGGCGCTCCCAGGCCAGCGAAGAGATATAATCCCTCCACCTGGTCCTAGGTCTACCCCTTGGTCTCTTCCCAGCTGGACGTGCCTGCACCTCCCTAGGGAGACGCCCAGGTGGCATCCTAACTAGGTGCTCGAACCACCTCAACTGGCTCCTTTCGACGCGAAGGAGGAGCGGCTCAACTCCGAGTCCCTCCCTGATGACCGAACTTCTCACCTTATCCTTAAGGGAGACACCAGCCACCCTGCGGAGAAAACCCATCTCGGCCGCTTGTATCCGTTAAAAAGCAGATTTACAAAAATATATATTTTAAAAGACAACAAATTAGCAATGATTTTTTAACATTAATTAAAATTGATACGTTTTGGTCGATACAATTTATACAAATTGTGAAAACAATTATTTTCCAAAAGCACATTTGTAACATTTATTTGGTCACCTTACCCACAGTTTTATATGATATACAAAAGATACAATCTGGAAAATCTACATATTTGAAAGGCTACAAACGGTTTATCTTTCATGCAAACTTAGCAGAAAATGCTAAGTGATTATTCGTTGTCTAATCATTAAAGCTATAATGACGAGTAGTGTAAGTAAACAGTAGTCAAGCTTTGAGCAGTGATCACATTTATAGAAAACAACGTGTTTTTATTGTGTGTAATATCCTTGTTTTGACTTTGTGGTGCTGCTGTGTGTTTGCAGTACAAGGCCTCTTTGACGCCCTGGGTGGGGCTCAGGAAGATCAACGTGTCGTACTGGTGCTGGGAGGACATGTCTCCCTTCACCAACACCTCGCTGCAGTGGCTGCCCGGAGAGCCCAGCGACGCCGGATTCTGTGGATATCTGGCCGAGCCGGCGTCCAGCGGACTGAAGGCTCAGACCTGCATCAACCCGGTGAACGGCAGCCTGTGTGAACGACCAGGTGGGTGCTAAAATACTTAAAGGGGACCTATTATTAAAAATCCACTTTTTCATGTCTCTTCTACATCAACGTGTGTCCCCTCTGTGGAAAGAGATTCTGAAAGTTTCAGGAACAAAGATTCTCTCACTTTTTCTCTTGATCCATTTATATAAAACCTGTCTGAAAATGAGCTGATCAGATTTTGGCCACTTTATGATGTCATCACGATGTTTTGTCTTGTGTAACCATTAGCCAATCACCAACCAAGGTAACCCCCCCCCCCACCTTATCACCTGAATCTCCTCCTAGAGCACCATTGTATTATTTTTAACCAAATATCTCTCAGAGGGGCGTGGGGAGGGGCTCCTTATTTTCATCGAAAGTAACAGACAGAGAATCAGCACTTTGGAAACAGGGCTGAAACAGAGGGGATTATGGGATGCTGCAATGATCTGTTTGGTATTTGGAGCCAAACACTTCAGAGGCATGTTTTGTATATATCTCGTGCTGCTGTGGGGAGGTTTTTTCCCTGGGAAGTCGCGGAGAGACGGAGCGGCTTCGCGTTCGGGCTGCGGCCTGCTTTACACCTGCTGTAGCGGAGGCCTGTATCCACCTGCTCCACCTGTCGTGCTCTACGGTGCCGAGGACGGTTTACCACGGGGATATCGCGGAGAGACCGGAGCGCCTCTACGCCTCGAGCTGGGCCTGCATCGCCTATCCTGCTGTACTGAGGAGGTTCTGCACCGGGGATATCGCGAAGAGACCGGAGCGCCTCCACGTTTCGGGCCTGCTTGCGCCCTATCCGTATGCTGTGCTGGTCTTTGAAAATGGCCCATATCGTGATTCTGCTATGCCTGTTAGCTATTTTGGACAATGAGAAGTTCTCTCGTTATCCTGAGAAGTCGAATGGATTCAGGTCTGTTCTACCGCCCGCAGTGGACATCCCCTGTAAAGGTTCGGATGTGTTACACAGACAATTACTGGTTGCCTTGTCACAGACATTCAGTTCGACAAATGTTTGTCTTGCTCACTTGCCTGCTATGATGGTTCTTCAGGACTGCTTCTTGAGCTCTAATCTCACTTTCGCAGAGTTGACTGGTGACTTTAAAGCAGATGACAATGTATGTATATCGGTTAAGAGGAAAAAGTGCTTGGTTTTTTTGTTATTATTACTATCAGGGAATGTACAACTAAACCCTGGACCGCCCAGCAGCAGTAGTAGTCAGATCGCTACTCCTGCTGATTTTAATTATAGATCTGGGTTGGGATTCATTCACTTAAATGTGCGCAGTCTGTTACCTGAGTTAGATTTTGTCCGCATTTGGGGGAGCTCGACTGATGCTGATGTCATTGTCTTATCAGAAACATGGCTAGATAAATCTATTTTGGCCTCTGACATCTACTTAAATGGTTATAGTGTATATCGTACCGACCGTACTAAAAAAGGTGGTGGCGTTGCCATTTATGTGAAAAATAAGTTTTGTGTAACCAAGATGGTTTCCAAATCTATTAGTAAACAACTAGAATTTTTAGCTTTAAATATTGAAGTAGCAAAGGGGCAACAGGTCATGGTGGTGGGCTGCTACAGACCCCCCTCAGCTGTCAAGGACTCTTTATCTTCTTTGGCAAAACTTTTATCTCAACTAGACTACAAGGAAATAGTACTGCTTGGTGATTTTAACTGGGACTGGTTAACTGCAGTGTCAGAGGATTTTAAAAACCTTTGTATCTCTTTAAATGTTACTCAGATTGTTGACAGTCCTACTCGCCCTAACATTAAGTCCCCAAATAAATCCTCCCTAATTGATCTAATTTTAACTAATGTTCCCCATAAATACTCATCTGTGGGAGTATTTGCGAATTATCTGAGTGATCACTGTGTTGTAGCCACAATTAGGGACACTAAGGTCCTAAAAGTTAAACCTCGCATTATCAGTAAGAGAGACAAAAAACATTTTGTGGAGCAGGGTTTTGTGCATGATCTGTTTGATTTTGATTGGGGTAAAATCGATCTGTGTCCTGATGTAGAAACTGCATGGTCTTATTTTTATCTTGGTTTTATGGAAATTATAGATAGACATGCACCCCTGCGTACTTTTAGAGTGAAGGGACGAGACAATCCTTGGTTTTCTGCTGAGCTGTCTAGTCTCCTATATGAGAGAAACAAGGCCTGGGCAAAGGCTAGGAAATCAGGCTTGGAGGTAGAATGGCTGCGTTTTAGGCAGCTAAGAAATAGCTTCACATCGCAAATCAAAAATGCTAAATCAAAGTACTATCTGTCAGTAACCACAAAGAATCTGAATAATCCTGGAAAATTTTGGAAAGCCATAAAATCGATATCCACCGGTGATATCTGTAATGAGCTACCTCCGTGCCTTACCACAGCATCTGGCACTATATCGGACAGGGCCACTATGTTAAATTGTTTTAATGAGCATTTTGTGTCCTGTGGTTTTCTATTTGATTCTGTCACTAACTCTGCTTCTGTGAACACCACAGTCTGTAACTCTGAAAAAGGTGTTTTGGAAAACCCTTTCAGTTTTACTCCTTTTACTGTTGATGTTGTTCATGATGTTTTAACCAAGTTAGATCCTAAGAAACCGGCTGGCCCGGACAATTTAGAGCCTTTCTTTTTAAAGATAGCTGCTGATTTTATTGCTCCACCGCTCACTACTCTTTTTAACCTCTCCCTCAGCACTAACACAATTCCAAAATTGTGGAAGTCAGCGTATGTCCTGCCTTTGCTAAAAGGTGGGGAGGCCACTTTATTAAATAATTATAGGCCCATCTCAAAATGATCAGTTCTGGCGAAGGTGCTCGAACGCCTAGTGAGTGAACAGGTAAAGGTGTTTTTATGTACAAATGACATCCTGTCTAAACATCAGTCAGGCTTCAGAAAGCAACACAGCACCATCACTGCGACAATGAAAGTGGTGAATGATGTGGCGAGTATTTTAGATAATAAGCAGAGTTGTGCAGCTCTATTTATTGACCTGTCCAAAGCGTTTGATCGATCATCGCATTTTAAAGCAGAGGCTAGCCAGTATAGGCATGTCCAGCCATGCAGTAGGGTGGTTTGTAAACTACCTCTCTGAAAGGTCCCAATGTGTTCACTTTGATGGGCTGTCTTCTGAGTGGTTGAACATTGCAAATGGTGTTCCACAAGGTTCTGTTTTAGGTCCACTTTTATTCTCCATCTACATCAATAGTTTAGGTGAAAATGTGGATGAAGCTACTTTTCATTTTTATGCGGATGATACCGTGATGTACTGTGCAGGTCCCTCCATTAAGGAGGCGGGTGTTAAATTACAGGCTGTTTTTAACATTATTCAGACTCAGCTCTCTGAACTAAAGCTTCTTTTAAATATTGAGAAAACCAAGGTAATGCTCTTTTCTAAAGCTAAAAAGACACCAGAGCCTGTTTTAGATATTGTAACTACACAAGGAATAAAACTTGAAGTGGTTACCTGTTACAAATACCTTGGTATCTGGCTTGATGATTGTCTCACTTTTAAACTTCATGTCAATAACCTGCTTAAAAAGCTGAGGGTTAGGCTAGGTTTCTTCTACAGGAACAAGTCCTGTTTCTCGCTTGAGGCCAGGAAAAGGCTAGTCACTGTGACCTTTTTACCTGTGCTGGACTATGGTGATCTGATCTATATGAATGCACCTGCCAATTGCCTGATCAAGTTAGATGCTGCGTATCACAGTGCACTGAGATTTGTGACAAACTGTAAAGCATTAACGCATCACTATACCCTGTATGCAAGGGCTGGTTTGCTTTCACTAACTGTACGGAGGCTCAGTCACTGGTACATTTTTATTTACAAAGCCATGTTAGGGAAACTTCCATCCTATATCTGCTCCCTGATCTCATGGCGAATTGTAAGTGGCTACTGCCTGAGATCGCATGCTGTAGTTTTATTAAATGTGCCAACTGCTAGGACTGTCTTAGGGAAGACAGCTTTTAGATGTGCAGCGCCACTGTCTTGGAATAGTCTGCAACTGAAATGGAAACTGAGCAATCTGGTGCCACTAAATGTTTTTAAAGCTCGGTTGGATGCTACTCAATCGGAAGCTGTTGGTACCTGTACATGTGGATAGTTATGTAAATTGTAATCCCTGTGATGATGTAAGATGTCCTTTTGTTGTTCTGTTAATGTTTTTATGTTTCATGTGGAACCTACTTGAGCAGGTCTCCCTTGTAAAAGAGTTCAATGATCTCAATGGGATTTATCTGGATAAATAAAGGTTTGAAATGAAATGAATATCTGAGACCTATAATATATTGATGAAAAACAGTATAATAGGGGACCTTTTAAAAACTCTCAAATAACTGTGTATCATCCGAACTAATTACTGTTGCTGCCTTAGGAAAACACTTACCAATAGACAAATGGAAATGTTGTACCAGCCTAACTTGTTGAAATGTCCCCCAGCCAACCACAGTGCCAAGCAGTGCCGGACCCCATGTGCCATGAGGGCAATGTGCAGCGAGTGTACCAGCGGCAGCTCCGAGTGCATGTGGTGCAGCAACATGAAGCAGTGCGTAGACTCCAACGCGTACGTGGCCTCCTTCCCCTTCGGACAGTGCATGGAGTGGTTCACCATGAACACCTGCCCACGTAAGACTCTCAATCTCTGCAGTTTCTTTCTAATCTTTATATCATATTTCAAAGATTTAACTAATTAAGATGTTTGTCTGTTTTTATTTTGGCAAGATATTATTGATATATATAGACTCAGAATAATGAATAACAAGTATTTACCTGTTAGAACTTCATGTTTTTGGTCATTCAGTCTCTTTCACAAGACTTTGCATAGTGAAGCTTGAAATTAAACACCTCTGAAAAATGTATTGGGGCACAGAAGTGAAGTCAACAACAAGGACTCAAAAAGAATAACACTTTTCTAATGTTCCTTCTATTAAGTTTCTTGAAAAGTACTTTTTTTTGGTAGTCATTTCAGCAAAAATACATAGCGTTTTGTTATACTTAACCAGTGTTGGGACTAACGCGTTACAAAGTATGCATGTCAAGTTGATCAACAGATTGTATTATTCTCCAATGCAATAACAGTACTGAAATGAAGGCTATAAGGGCATTAATGGGAGCCCTTTTTTTAAGTAACTAAAAAGTTACTTTTCACAGTAACGCATTACTTTTTGGTGTAAGTAATCAGTAACTGAGTTACTTTTGAAATGAAGTAACTAGTAATGGTAACTAGTTACTGTTTTTCAGTAACTAGCACAACACTGTACTTAACTAATTAAATAGTTTAGCGACGCAACATAATAACCAAACATATACTTGGGTGGAATTTATTTGTATTTTTTACTGACAGTCTTGTTTACATTATAATTAGTAACACGTTACAGGAAACCTTCAGGGACATTTTGCACCTTTACAATTAGACATTTTCTCTTTGCTGAGGTAACAAGTACAGGATTTGTTGACTCATTGATCTCATCATCTCCTAGTGTAATAACTAGGGCTGTCAGTCGATTAAAATAGTTAATCGCGATTAATCGCAAATTAATCGCACATTTTTTATCTGTTCTAAATGTACCTTAGAGGAATATTTTTCAAGTTTTTAATACTCTTATCAACATATGAGTGGACAAATATGCTTTATGCTAATGTTTATTATAATTTGAACAATGACAAATATTCTCATGAATATTAAACACAACAACCTGGAACCTCTCTCATACAATAATACAACACAAATGGTGTGTGTGTGTGTGTGTGTGTGTGTGTGTGTGTGTGTGTGTGTGTGTGTGTGTGTGTGTGTGTGTGTGTGTGTGTGTGTGTGTGTGTGTGTGTGTGTGTGTGTGTGTGTGTGTGTGTGTGTGTGTGTGTGTGTGTGTGTGTGTGTGTGTGTGTGTGTGTGTGTGTGTGTGTGTGTGTGTGTGTGTGATCGTTGGATCGTTGGATCGTTGGATCGTTGGAGCTATGTGCAACTCAAGGCATATGCTCGAACGGGAGCTGCCTGGACGCTGCAATCATGTTGCGCACATTATCCGTGCTGAGTGTGCTGACTTTTCGTACAATGTCCCACTGTCTGGCTTCCTGCATAAAGTCAAGTGCTCGGCACAGTTGTGGCGAAATGTCGCTCCTCTGTTTTCATTTAAACAGCTCCATATCCGATAGCGCAGCTAGCTAGCACCAGATGCTAACAACAACAATGCACGTAAGGTCTCTCTCTCGCTCGCTCAGGCCACACATACACACACCCTCCCGGTCTTCCCAACAACCAGTCGGTGCCAGCCGGTGAACGTGGAAGTGTGGTCTGCCACAAGCGGGCGGCAGGAGCGGGGCTGTCAGCATCAGCTTGTAGATGGTATTTTAAACTCGATGCGCTCTGAAACTACGGGGCGGCCGAGGACAAAAAATACACATGCGTTAATCGCGTTAAAATAATTAGTGGCGTTAATTTTTTTTTGCGTTAACGCGTTATTAACGCGTTAACTTGACAGCCCTAGTAATAACCTTTCTGCATTGTATAACCCTGGCATTGGCATCTCTTGATTCGTAACCCATTGATTCTACATAAAATGTCGAAGTTTAAAGCTTGTACAAATCTCTCCATGCGTTTCTTAAGCCAGTTACGCAGTTCTGGCCCTTTTTGTTCCAAACTAATTATTACTGTAGCAAAAACACTCAGACAAATGAAAATGTTGTAGCATGTTGTTTAAACCTCTGATTAAGCCTCCCGGTCATGAGTTTCAATCTGAGGACGGAGGAAAAACTCGACACATTAAAGAAAGCACAAATCTGAAGTCCGCTCACGTAGCGCTCCTTAATGTTCTTAACCACTTGAGTGAATGTAGCGACCTCCATCAGACTTAAAAGAAAGTCCCTCAAAGGCAACATTTTAAATAACTGTGACTCTCTGAGGCAGAGTTTCTTTAGTGTTGTTTTTTAACCTTCATTTAGCCGAGCACATTACACTGTGGCCCCTCCAGTAGATGAGATGGGGATTAATAATCTGCTTTAATAGTTTGGTAGCTGAGTCTGCGGCTGGTGCTTTGTTGTGTGCACAGCGCAGCGAAGAACAATTTTCATTTATTTAACCTGGCAGGTCAATTAAGCATATATTGTTGCTACAGCTACACACAGATAATCCCCTCAAGGGCTGAGAGCTAGGATTTAAAGTATAAGCAAATATTTATAGAGAGCAGCTGGAGAGAGATAAATGAACTGTTGAGCCTGATGGAGGTGTTATTAATGTAATCTTTTGCAAAGGCTAGACCTTATTTGCATCACCCAATAAAAAATATACTCTTCATAGGACAGTAATTGATATTTGACTCCTTTACTTACACATGGGGAATCACTGAGAACCAGCTCAAGTAAAGGCCTGTGCTCACATAGCGTCATTTTTCAATTATTTCCAATGAAGATTGAGTGCCTACTGCCTCGAGAAGAAATGCTGCACCCAGCACTCTGCTCGTTTTGCATTGCTCCGGGTGCTTCAAATTAAAAATATCTCGCTTTTTTAGAAAAGGGTCAGTGAGGTAATTGTAGAAATTGGAGGAAAAGCTTGACAGTGTCTTTAAGACTTGAAACTATCATAACAATGCAAGGAAAGCCCATTTATACGGGAGGATACGCCGGGTGGACACTGGATGTTGCTGCCGGTGAGTGTGTGACTTTTCGTCCTCGCTCTGCGCTCGTCAGACTCATGCATTCATACAAAGTGTAAGAGCAAGCGTCTTCCAGTTGGATAATAGTAAAATAACCATGTCAAACAAATATATAGTAGCACGAACAGAAAATAAAGGGGGTGAAGCAAGTCTGTCATACAACAGCGGTGATACGTTGTCAAAGAAACTATAAAAAAAGTCTTTCTGCCGGCGATATGTGGACATTAAGAAAATAAGTCCACACAGTTCTGGAATTGAATCTCCTGCTTTAATTTGTCTGTTTCTTTCTGCAGCGGAGAACTGCTCGGGGTACAGGACCTGCGGTCAGTGTCTGGACCAGCCGGGCTGCGGTTGGTGCACCGACCACAACAACACGGGCAGGGGTCAGTGCATCGAGGGCTCGTACCGCGGGCCCTTCCTGACCGCGGTGCCGGCCCCCTCCACCCTGCCCGGCCTGCCCGCCAGCCCCCAGCCCGCCCTCAACGCCAGCATGTGCCCCAACGAGGCCAAATACAACTGGTCCTTCATCCACTGCCCAGGTACGGGAGCAAAACTCTTTCTATGTTATAATGTGATAAATAAATGTCCACTGGCCAACTCAGTGGACATTTTTAAACGACAGCTAAAGACACATCTTTTTACATTAGCTTTTTATTAGCAACCCCCCACTTTAAATGTTCTTTTCGCTACCTTTATGTTGTTTTATTTGTTTTAATCTTTTTATTTTTATTTCTGTTGTACCTATATGTTCACTTTGTTTTATGGGGTTCTATATTATATTTTATATTGTTGCATCGACTCAGTTGTCTTGTGTCTTATCTGTCAGAGAGAAACATTATTTATTTCATTTTAATTATCATACATTTGACCTCCTTTCTTCATTCTTAACAAATAATCTGAGGGGAATTTCTTGTTTGTTTTTAACTTGTGATGTCATTTTGTAAAGCACCATGAGCTGCACGTGTTGTATGAAAAGTGATATATAATAAAGCTTTATTATTATTATTATTATTATTTCTGTAGACGCATTTACACTAAAAGTTAGACTTGAACAATCAATTGAAATCCCCCCCCCCCTGTGTTGGCCCTGATTTTTCTGACAAAAGCTTTGTTTTTGGGTCAGACCCAACCTAGTTCAAGCAGAGAATTGGGGCGGCTCTATGCGAGAGTCTTTTAAATAGTAATCGCTTACCGAAAATATATAAACGTATTGTTGAGGATAGTGTTTTTTTTAAAGGAAATATATTTAGTACTGCTCTTTCATAACAAAGGTAAACCTAAAGAAAAAAATAAAAGTAGCAGTGACCGAGATATCTTGACATTTATCTTTAAGTGTGAGTCAGCAGGAACAGGATCCTTCATTTCCTAAATCCAACTCAATAGGGCCTTTCTTCAGAGCCCTCTGCCCCCTCGCTGCCATCTCTTTCTAACACCACATGTCCACTCTGTACTTCAGGCTTATTGTTGAGGAAGAAAGGCTTCCTTCAGAGCCAAATTAACATTATACAACCGTTTTCTCCGGCTGAATACTAATCCTCATGATGATGCTCAAAGTGCCTGTATTCAAAAATATAAAAACTACTCCAACAACCAATAGATCTGAAATGTTTGCCCACTCACAGGGATTGTTTTACTTGTTCATTAAAATCTAAAACTAACAGAAAAACGCATGCCTTGCTAGGCTCCCCTTTTGGTCAGCTCCACAACTTCATGTAAAAATGTTATTTAAAGGGGCATATTGTGCTTTTTGGAGTCTTCCCTTTCCTGTTGTGTGTTTTATAATATTGATTGGTGCATGTAAATGGTCTGCAAAGGATGAGATCCCTGTGTTCCCTCCAAAGGGAGTTTCTCTCCCACAAACTCCCCCCCTGCCTAAAACGCCTCGATTACACTCCTTTGTTTACTTCTGTGACATAATGACATCACTGTGTAACACTAACGCTTCTATTGGCTAGCGCTCCACTGAACTATCAATAATGTTTTGTTATTTTGAGCGTCAGTTTGAGAGTAGGCATCTTTCGTTAATTAAATACTCTTTTTCTTATTTTTTTGGATTGCGTGTTGTCGTCGATTCTCGTAAGATTTGGAAGCCCCTCAAAACCTAGAAGGCATGAGGAACATCAAAGTAACATTATTTGTCACACGAGGTCTCCGCATGCAGCACCAACAGACAGTTCAGGAACAGATCCCAGACTGCAAATTACAAATACAAACTAATTCATGTTTTGGACCTGGGGCTGTTAAATGTTTTTGGCGTGTGATGTTCATGTAGTATGTGCTCTGTTTACTCCCTGGCAGCCTGTCAGTGTAACGGTCACAGCCAGTGTGTCAACGAGAGCGTGTGTGAGAAGTGTGAGGACCTGACAACCGGCCGGCACTGCGAGAGCTGCATCTCCGGCTTCTACGGAGACCCCACCAACGGGGGCAACTGCCAGCGTGAGTACCTGTGGGTCGGCTCTGAATCAGGCAGGTGGTCTCTCTGAGCACAGCTTCATTTAACTTGTCAGTGTTTTCACAGTTCAGTTTTATAGCCGCACAGTAAAGCGGTCCCGTGGGATATTTAAGATTTACTCGGGTCTGCAGCTCCTGCTGACATTGAGTCGATACGACAACAAATCAATCATCCTTTACTTCAATGGCTTAATTTATCTAAGCAATGTATCACAGCCAACGTACGTTTTTCCTTTTTGTTTTGCTCCCTAATTCCTGGTGTTGTTTTAGAATATATATTTAAGTTGTTCTGCATCAGCAATAAACCAGGAAATGTTATTCATTCTTTGTTTATGCTTCGCCTTTACTTGCAGAAGGGACATTAAAGCATGTTTTCCTTAACCTTATTATATAAGTTTTACTCAGGAGGCCTCATGAGCATAAGCAAAAACATGCATAATCAATACCTTAAGATGGAGATGATGAATAAACCAAAAAGATACAGCTGAGGCATACGATCACAATATCCAGCAGCTGTGGCCCATTGTTACAAATACCTCATTCACACCAACGGTGTTTCAGGGCCGGTTCGGAGCTGGAGCTTGAAAAGCACCGGGTTTTCCTGTTCACACCGCAGCGGAGCAGCCCCTTAGCTCCGAAATCCGGTTCGTTTCAAGCACCAAAAAAATTGTCCGGCCAGAGCTAAAGCACCACATACGTCACGCTTACGTCGAGGCGGGGGCAGGGGCGGGATCAACAACAACAAAAAGCCGGCGTTGTATCCAGTTTGTACACAACGATGGAAAAACTTAATAAGCAGCAGTGGTCCACTGAAGAGACCAGCTACCTACTGGGAATCTGGTCTTCCGAAGAGGTACAGAGGAAGCTGGAGCACAATCGGCCATTGTTGTTGTTGTCGGTGTCAGCTGTGAGGGGTTTCCGCGCGGTTTGGCTTATGAAGCAGGCAAGCAAACGGTTACGTCATGACGCAAAAGATGACGCAATGACGCGGCACCAGTCGGACTCTGGGCAGTGTGAAAAGAGCTAAACTGAAGAACCGGTTCTGAACCTGAAAAGCTCTAGCACGGAGCTTGAACCGGAGTTGCGTTGGTGTGAATGAGGTAAAAGACTTCTCCAGCTGTTAATATCACGCAGCTCAACCATCATTTAAGATTGATTTACTGATTTAATGCCAAGGATGGCAAACACTAACATCGATACAGGAGTTTTGAAAGTGGTCCTCCAAATCACCACACCTAACATTTGGCATCTGTTGACGGATACTGAAACTGTCCCATGGGACGTTAAAGTCACCTCAGAGCTTGAGTGGGAAATGCAGCGTTTAAAGTTGTTTTAACCTCTGTGCACAGATTTGGCACTGAGCCTAAACAACTGGATATTGGAGCACTATTTTGTATTCCTACCTTGTCCTTTGCTTGATCAATGAGACTGAACTTCACATTCAGTAAAAGCAGAGTTTACAACTCATACATGTAAACAAGACAAGACAAAGCTTAGATTTGGATGCTTCTTTTTCAAACATGTTCACATGTTATGAAACATGACATCTATTGCTCCTATTCTTATCCAGTGAGAGGGATAATTCCTCTGTTGCTCTCCCTCAGGTTTTGTTTATTTCCCCCCCCCCCCCCCCCCCCCCCCCCCCCCCCCCACACACACACACACATACACACTTCTTAGAGGAGTTTTTCTAGGTTCTTCATATGCTGTACAGTATGTAGAGCCCCCTAAGACACATGTGTCATTTGTGATAAAGGGATATATAAATCAAAATTAGATTTTTGTTCACATAAGTGTACACTTTTCTTTCACAAGAGTCGATATATCACCCTCGACATAATATTATACCTTCACGATTCACTAGCAGTCTGTTATGTAGATTGATAGCAGTCATTCAATGTAAAAAAGGAATGGTATTGCTTTACCGAGGCACTTAAAGTTTTATGTTTAATGTCTTTTGTTCAGCCTGTAAGTGCAACGGCCACGCCAGCATGTGCAACCCCAACAACGGGAAGTGCTTCTGCACCACCAAGGGCATCAAAGGAGATCGCTGCCACCTGTGAGTTTCAAATGTTCCTTTTTGCTGAATTATATCTTAATTATACCACCTGCAATGAACTACTGGGTAGGAGAATAGTCCGTTTTCCAGCACATGCAGTAAAGAACTGAACTGTGAGTTTTCCCTGAATTAAAATCCAATTAAAATTCTTAACTGAGGATTTAAATTATCACCCATAATAATGTCATGAGGTTGTTGAATGGCGGTTTTAAGCTACTGTAGAAGCCAGAAACAAATATGACATCAACCTCCTTTTTTTGCGGTGTCATGGACCAGCACTACACTACCCATAATCCCCATAATACATTTGAGCAGGTCTCCCTTGTAAAAGAGTTCAATGATCTCAATGGGATTTATCTGGATAAATAAAGGTTTGAAATGAATGTGTGACAGACATGCCACTGTTCACATAGAAATCATTACCACAAATAAGGGTAGGTTTCAAGAGTCTGCTCCGTGGTCTGTTCCTGGATTTCAAACCTGACCATCTTTAGTTTGGAAAACTTAATTTATATCATGAAAATAGTTTAGTGATATGGGTTTCCCGAAAACATGTTTATTTTCAAGATTTTCAAGGGTCAACGAGTGGCTTTTTGCAGAGGTTAATGAGATGAGTAGTTTCTTTACTCTTAAAATAATTATCCACGCAGTCTTTTACCTTAGTTTTTCATTTTCTATGTTATAAAAGTATTGAAAAAAGTTCAATGCTAAGTCTTGCAAGGACTTTATGTACTGTAATGTCAATGGAGTAAATGAATGGGAAATACAGCTTTATAAAGTTGGTTGTTGTTGCTTAAACTTGTATGCTGTATACATCTGGATTTGCACATGTTTTCAAATAACTTGTATTTATTCAAAGCTAATGAACCAATTGAAATTCAAGGATTGTGTTAAAATAAACCTTAAAGCTAGCATGTTAATATGTTTGAAAGAAAGGCCTAATACCCTGCTTGTCCTTTATCTCTTGTTTTTGCCTTTCTGTAATCACAGCTGTTCATTACTTTGAGCCTCACTAATCTTATCTGTGGCCTTCATTACCATAGGGCTTTCCAAAACCCATTAAAACTTGAGATACAGTGCAGATCCGTGAATGAAAATTAGTCTATTTTTGTCAAAAGAAAGTCTCTGTTAGCGACGTCAGCCAGCTCCATTTCTTTCATTATTCTTTTTTATCTGTTTCGTTTGCATTGTGGTTTTCTTGCAGTAGACTGAAGGTTATGTCTGTGTCTGTGTGTATGTTTGTGTGTTCTCAGCCCTGTTTGGGATGCATGGATTTCCTCCTGCTTTGTTTTTTGTTTTATCAGCAATTAAATCATTCTAATTCACCCCTCTTTTCCCCTCCCTCTTCTTTCATTCCACCCACATTTTTTTTAATTTCCCTTCGTCTATTGTCCACCTCTCTCTTTCAGGTGTGAGGTTGAGAATCGTTACCAAGGCAACCCCCTCAAAGGAACATGTTACTGTAAGTGGAATTCTGTGTGTGTGTGTTTCACTGCAGTACAGCGACGCACACTGCAGATCAGTCTCCTGTCATTATTATTCTTGTCAAATATGATTATTTACCAGAGAATATGAAAATGCAGAGGGACCATGGGATTTAAATAGCTCTACTTTTTTCTGATTATCTAAATGGTCTTCAAACTAAATTGTCTCCTTTTTTATCAACATAATAATGTTATTTAAGAACATGGAAGGAGCTATCAATAATGTAATTTGACAAAATCATACTTTTTTTGGGACGTTTTCTCTTTAGTCTGCTTTAAATGAACAGGCATTTATATTAGAAATGTGAATTCAATTTCATTTTTGTTTATTGATGAAATCATTAACTGTCGTAGGCGTTGAGAAAAAATCATGCAAACATATAAAGCTAAAACATTTAAATGAAATATATAATTAAAATGTAATGTGTAAACAATGCAATTAAAATAATTTGAAAACGTAGTTGACTAAATACATTTTTTAGTATTAGCATAGGCGTTAACAAAAAAAGGCCTGGTTTTTGTTTAACTTTGTTTGTAAACTAGTCAATTATCTGGTGACAGTGATCTCCAGCTGTTGTTGAATGGCTGCTTGAACACAGAGTCTCTTATTACCTTCATCACAGACAACACACACTAACATCTGGTGGTCCATCTAAGAAAGTGCATGTTCTTGTCTGACTTTGAAACTAGCTTAATGGAGTTTTCCTTCTTCTTTGGCAATCCCCCCCCACACTCCCCCCCCCCCCCCCGGCTCCATCACTACCAACAGACACGCTGCTCATCGACTACCAGTTCACCTTCAGCCTGTCGCAGGAGGACGACCGCTACTACACCGCCATCAACTTCGTGGCCACACCTGAGGAGGTACGTGTCTGACAGTGAACGCCCCACCGTCCCAACAGCTGTCACTCTGTCAGGACTAAAGACTGAAAGAAAAGCACCACATGATGAGTTTCTCACATCTCTGTCAAACAACAAGGCTTCTTCTGAAGATACATACATAACAATAAACTAAATATCTTCTTTTCTTTAAGAGAGACCTGTAAACAAGTTAACCAATGTTGCTGTGTTGAGAAAACCATCTTATTAATGTCAACAAAAAACTTCTGAGACCAACAGTCCCATTTGACATTGTGTATGGTTTGTTTTGCTCACATTGTTTCAAACCTACAGTATGAAGGGACATGTAATCCATGCTTATCATTGTACAGACCAGAGTTCCCGTGAGAATATTTTTTCGCCGGTCAACATGTCCGTTAAAGTTTAAATCTTCCGGACACAATTTGAAAAGTGCCGGTCAAAGGTCTTTGTTATTTATTGAGCTTTAAAACAAATTGATATGATTCGATATTAAACAAACTAATTATAGTAGATTAACTACATTATTCAAAAGTGTTCAGTAATTTACAATAACACGGGAATAATAAACGGAGCGCTCTCCCCTTCTCAGCCCGTCAGTATCATGGAGCTCGCGGATCCAGTAATGAGTGACCCGACAGTAAAACTAAACATATAACTAGTTACGGTAGTTTGAGAGGTAATTAAAATAGCTACGTGTGATATTCTAACCTGAAGTGTGTGTTTTGTCCGCTCACCGCTGCAGGTGATCATGCAGAGCTGCATGTCGACTCGTCAGCAGCAGCTGATCTCTCTCTCCCGTCAGATTAGACTTCACTCGCGTTTATGTCCATATCGATCAGATCCAGCTAGTTCTAGCTAATGATATGACTACCTGCTTATTAAAAGACACCTAAACAATAAGCGTCGCTATGCAACCGGGTGAGGCCACAAAGTATAGCGCAGCATTATGCATTTGTTTACAACCCACCGGAACCCAGAGGCATTACCAACAGATCAACGCACAATCAACCCATACAGGACATCTCTTTCTCCACATTACCTGTTAGACATTAGAATTGACTATTCTTGTCTGTCACATACTCTTCTTGTCTGTCACATAAGTGGCGCAACTGATGCGGTATTGCGCTAAGGGGAAATTATTTTGACCGGACATTTTGACCGGAGGGTTTTAGATTTGCCGGTCTTCAGCATATTTGACCAGTCGTAGTCCGGTAATTACCGGCTAACGGGAATTCTGGTACAGACGCATGAACCAACAAATGCACAAATATTCACAATATATTATTACATATGCAATAATTATTGGCTCCCCAATACAAAATGCAAACAAGACTAGTCATAATGAATTCAAAGCAGGTATAAGCAGATAAACCATTTAGTGGTATCATATGATAGTGTCTTTATTCAAATTAAATAATATGACAACTAATACAAAATAATAAAACACGCACTGATCTCTGTCATCTTATCAACCATTGTAAAAATAGTTTTAACAAAAAATACAATAACATTACATTTATGAAGCTCTATTTAAAACAAGTAACAAGCTGCTTTACATACAAAATATAATAATTAACTGAGAAAGTACAGTATATAAATGCAATATATCACAAAAGAACAAGTATAAAAATGCAATATATCACAATAGAACAAGTATATAAATGCAATATATCACAATAGAACAAGTGTATAAATGCAATATCACAAAAGAACAAGTATATAAATGCAATATATCACAAAAGAACAAGTATAAAAATGCAATATATCACAATAGAACAAGTATATAAATGCAATATATCACAATAGAACAAGTATATAAATGCAATATATCACAATAGAACAAGTGTATAAATGCAATATCACAAAAGAACAAGTATATAAATGCAATATATCACAAAAGAACAAGTATAAAAATGCAATATATCACAATAGAACAACAGTAAAATATAAAAAAGGTAGTCTTACATTTTGTATTGTTTTTTTAAAAGTCATTTCCCAACTGAGGGCCGTACAGAAAAATATGAGTCTTCAGGTTTAACTCGGACATTTCCAGGAATTACCTCCTAAAGTTGGAAGTATTGAGGAGCTAAACCCCTACATTAAAAGTGAAATGACATTCCTTTTAAATATATAATCAAAAATGAATAATCAACAGAAAGTACAGTTAACTTATTTTTCTGTGCGGGTATGAAGTCTGGAATTTAAAGTGGATTTTAGTTTCCACAATATAAAAGTTGTAAAAAAGAAAGAAAAGTAGACGGGAACATTTGACACACAAATATAATTTATTTAACCCAGGGCTGTACAGAAAAATACGAGTCTTCAGGTTGAACCCATGCATGTCCAGGAATGACCTCCTAAAGTTGGAAGTCAGATATATATTGAGGAGCCAAACCCCCACCTTAAAAGTAAAATGACATTCCTTTTTAAATCCCCTGAAATCTGAGGTGTTTCTCCTGTGGGTCACGTTATGAGTCAGGCTCGACACTGGCTTCACCCCCCCTCTGTTAATGGTATCAGCCTGCAGTGTATCATCGTGTGTGAACTACACACAGATGTTGTCACAGCAAATGAAAAGCCGTCCTGTCCTGTTTACCTGGCTGCAGCATCTGGAGCCGGTACTAACACACACGGCTCTGATTTAATATTCCAGATGGTATTCTTCCCCGACAAAATGTTTCAACAAATGGAAACCCAGGCAAAGCAACTTTATTTATATTGCACAATTCAACACGATGCAGCTTTTGAAAAACATTGCAATGCAGTGTAACCGAAAAACATTAGAACATTTAAATACACTTAAAAACTGTCATTTGGAAAACAAGAAAATAGAAATATTACAAGCTAAAATAAAATAAAACAGTTATAAATTACAAAAATAAAATGATAAATGTTACACAGAAGTGTTAGATATTAATAGGAAAATTACATTTTAGTTACGTCTTGCTTCTGTAATTGTATGTATATCTAAAAAATAAGACAACTTTGATTATATTCAGCAGTTATTTAATTAGCCAAATGATGCTGAAGAATTATTCCAAAAAGCAAACTTATATTTTACATATTTAATAATAATTTGAGCAAACATATCAGCTTTTTTACAGAGCCACTTTAATTATTCATCCCCACTGAAGCTTATATACAATTATAATCACACACGCAGCCTTTCAATCAGTAAGTAAACATGAATTAGGACTCGTTTAAATCTACTTGACGTGATCAAAGTGGGAATCGCTGCTCTTACAGTACTTTAATGAAAATAATTTTCAACATTGACTCTTGTTCAAACATTAGTTTAGCTAATGCAGCTTCCATTACCGACCCAAATGTGTCCTACGCCGCACTATTCATCATAAAGCAGAGGAGCTTTTGGACATAGTACAAACGTTCTCTGTAACATGGTGACTTCACTATGTAACACTCATTCTTCCTTTGGATAGCGCTCAAAGGCTAATAGGCTAAGGGGGGGCGGGATATCTCTGAGGTTGACCAATCAAAACAGAGCCGGCCAGCTAACCAATCAGAGCAGACTGGGTTCTGGTTTCAGACAGAGGGTGAAAAGAGGTGCTGCAGCACAGGCAGTATGAGAAAAGTAAAGCACTTTTTGAACATTAAAGCATAGACATGTCACAGTATAGACACAACATAGAAATATGAAACTTTACATTAGCATAATCTGTCCTCTTTAAAGTATCATTCATCGTTTTCCTCTCCTCTTCTTTGTATGATATTGCATAATGACACTAATTTTGATGATGATTGTGACTTCATGCTCTCTGTGTTCTCTTTCCCTCCTCAGCCAAACCGGGATCTAGACATGTTCATAAACGCCTCCAAGAACTTCAACCTGAACATCACCTGGGCCACAAGCTTCAGTGGTAAGTCTCCACAAAAACACTCTGACACAATCAAACAATGAGTAGTAGGCTGCTACATATTCTCTGTCTTCAGAAAGACAAATTGAATGAGGCGGGAAACATTTATCATATTCTGAGCTGTGTTTAATGCAGGAGTGAACGTTAAACTCAAAGTCATTATTTCTATCTCTCTGTAATTACATTTACATAAATTGAAAGTGCTATCATGTTTGATTAGTATCGTTTAGAACTTGGTGGAAAAACGTTATCACATAAAAACGAGTTAACGTTATTGTTTTAACTTAATAAAAGTTACATTGTATCTCCTGTTTTTCATTTGTCCACCTGCCTTCATCTTATGGGCCTTTTTGTTTTTCCCCTCATACTCAATTTTTCCGACATCCTCACACTTCCATGTCATCATCATCATCTTCATCCTCCATATTTTCATCTACGTCATTTCTCCTCTGTCCTCCAGCAGGCACCCAGACCGGGGAGGAGATCCCCATCGTGTCCCGGAGCAACATCAAGGAGTTCAAAGACAGCTTCTCCAACGAGAACTTCGACTTCCGCAACAACCCTAACATAACCTTCTTTGTCTATGTCAGCAACTTCACCTGGCCCATTAAGATTCAAGTAAGCTTTGCTCAACCTAGACAGAAAAATATGTTTGGCTGGTTCACGCTGAAATCCGCTCGGAAGTGGTTTACATTTTTGTCGAGCTTCATTAGTTACATTAGTAAACTAATACTGCAACTAAAATAAAAAGCACACACTTATATGTGTGAGGAAAATATAGGTGAAGAAGAGGATAAACTAAACACTAAACCACATCCTGCTTGAATTATAGCCGCTACGTCCAGAAACCAGAATCAACCAAGATTTAAAAAAAGTAGGGCATTATTTTAATAGAGCAAATTAATATAATCTTGTCAGCAGAGCAGCGACAGTCTTTGAGATGCTATAGATTCTAATGAACATGGCAGATTTAATTCTGACAGACAGAAAGACACATTCAGCTGTGTCATCTGAGGATCAGCGCACTGACTGATGTGTCAGGGGAAGAAAGCTGACGGCTTCGATAAGACGCTTGAAATCTATAAATGGGAGGCTGTGTGTGCTGACAACGTGGGACAGCACGAGTGTCGGTGATGGCTGGAATGAATGTGGATATCTAATTTGCACAGAAAAGGAAAGAGGAAATGACTTGCCATTAGGAGAACAAAAAGAGAGAAACAATCAGATTGCACTATTTTATCTCACATTTGGGCCTCTAACATGAAACATGTAGCCAGTGCAGAAATACAAATAAACATTTGAAGAGCAGTTTGACTTAGGCTGCAGCCACACGAGGACAAAAACGTCCGTTTGCGTTACTGTTTACTGTCATATAGACCATTCGGCCACACGAGGACGACCGCATACGGCACTAAACGACTGAGGAAACGATAACGGGTCCCAAGGTGGATAGAACGGCATACGCAACGCTCTGGGGGGTCAAACGGCTCCGTGTGTGCGCCCTATACGATCATTTTCTGATAATGATTGCGCAATAGCCCCGCCTCACCCCACCTCTGCTGCTCACCTCCGCGTACCCCGCGCCATTGCTGATGTGTTTCGCCACCAACAACAATGGCGGATCGCAGAGTTGCTATCGTGCTCCGGACGCTACTGACCATGCTACAGTTCTTTGTGCAACATCTACAGCAGACTTACACATCCGGGGGGGATCTTACTCGCTGCTTTTGTGGATATGTACTGCAGCTTCAGCGATCATTTTCTGATAATGATGAGGCAATAGCCCCGCCTCTCCCCACCTCTGCTGCTCACCCCCGCTTCAAAGTAAACTGCACACTGAATTCAGATTATTTATCTTTCTCTCGATATGGACATAAACGCGAGTGAAGTCTAATCTGACAGGACGGAGACACCTCTCAAACTACCTAAACTAGTTATAAATATGTTTATTTTTACTGTCGGCCGGGTCACTCATTACTGGATCAGCTGCTGCATGAGACAGACACTGGCGCTGTCCGAAGAGAGGGAGGAAAAAGAGAGGCTCCGTGTATTTTATTATTATATTATATAGAGTCGTTATTCATTTGTTTTAAAGCTCAATAAATAACAAAGAAGACCTTTGACCGGCACTTTTATAATTTTGTCGGAAGATTTAAACTTTAATACACGTTGACTGGCGAAAAACTCTGCCCGGTTCCCTCGGCCCCCACCGCGGAGAATAAACAGAAGGGCAACCATGACAACCATGCTTCTTCGCTGCTTTTGTGGAGGAAGTTACAGCGCCACGTACAGGCTCCTGCATATGTACTGCAGCTTCTCCAGCGGTTGGAGCTAAACGGAGCGGTCTCGTGTGGACAGACACTATCCGGATGACTATTGCGTGTGGACGGAAGCTTGTTTGCGTTTGCGTTAATCCTATGCGTTTAGCCGTTTTTGTCCTCGTGTGGCTGCAGCCTTAAAGGGGACATATCATGGGCTTTTCAGCGTCATACATTCATTTTCAGTTGTTTCTTAAACATTTTACCATGAATAAAAGTCCAAAAAACTCCCACTACAGGTTGATTGAGGTGCAAGAACAAAACATGGCGCATCATCAACGTTTTTGAAAAAATCTACTGAAATGTCTAATTTCAGTTTCTTGTTTGGATGGTACCCACATGTATGTACACAAGCACTGTTAAAGTGTGTTCATCATAATATGTCCTCTTTACTAAAACCTTAAAATCCAATAACCGCATGATTTACTCAAGTTAAACATGAGTACTAACCAAAACATGCAACACTGTGCTGAATATTAACCAACTGTAGCAGCGCGTATGATGCTGAAAATACATGTATTCATGCACTTCAAATAAAAGCATCTAAGCACTTCAGGTCTCCTAATGTGCTTTTTATGTGTAAAGTTACGCCATATTTGGGCTTGTGTGTATGTGGGCAAATAAATAAACACATCCAGGGATAGACCCACATATTTTGGATCAAAGTGCAGCAAATCTGCGGTCAATGTCCGCTCTGACTGCTCAGCTTGTCTTATTAAAAGCCACTTTTCTACTCTGCAAACAAACAAAAAAGGTGGCTGGTATAATGGCAGAATGTAAATGTTGGCAGTCACCAGTACATTTAGGTCAGTGGAAGAAAAAAGAAGGATTTCTCTTATTTGGTGAGCAGGAGTTTTTCCTCCGCTGTTAATGTGGCTGCTGGCAGTGCGCGTGTGTGTCAAAATTGGGCATTTTACTTAAATTGCTTTATCTGCAACAAGATACAAATTCAATTAATTTCCATCAGTTTACTCAGTGTGAATTAACTGACCATTTAATATGTATTAACTCTTTATATGGGGGCTTTTCTGCTAATGCACTCCCTCCCTTATACCCCAGAAGATGCTTGTTTCTGATTTGCTAGCAGGTAACAAAACATACACCTGTACATCTCGTTAATAATGGATTCGGTATCCAAATGTCTTTGCTCAGTTGCCAGTTTTAGGTGCACTTAGCTTAACATCTTATACCATTGATATAACTTTGGGTAGTTTGGGCAACACTCAACAGCACCACAAGCCTTGAAAATGTCCATAGAACATACACATTGTCTTGTCCTTGGTGTAACTTGCTGAAACTGCCATGTCTGCCAAAAACCAAATACAGTAAAAATATAAAAAAAGAAAAGTTAAATCAACTACACTTTAAAACAGTTAGAACAAAAGCCTTCATGAAAGTTGTCTTTATTAAAGAGCTAATGTCTTAAAAAGCATTTATTTCAACTGTTACATAAGAGAGTTACACACCAATGTAATATGTAAGCCAATGGGCTTTGGTTAAGGGAGTAAATGAAGTTCATAAGTTGGACAGAACAGCAACATTTGTATTAATGCTTTGTGAATTTGTTATTTGCACTTTCTAGTTAAACCTTTATATATACAGTCTACAGTATGAGTTAAACACACAAGTGCTGTGTGTAGAACTGGGGAACTGGGAATTTCAAGTGCTACATTTACGCAGTTTGAAATACAGTTAACTGTTTTTTACCTGTGGTGTATTGCTATGGTATAGGCATAATAATGCATCCTGTAGTGTCCTGATATAGAGAATGATGGACTCTTATATTGGATCAAAGACAGGTCACTTGGTATCCTACCGTCAACATATTTGGAAAATGCACTGCAAGTATATCTTAGTGAAACATTGTGAATTGGATTTGTTGATATTTGATTAATTCTAACTCTGATCACAACACTGCTCAACTCTACTGCATTACTACCAGTGCTTTCAATGTGGAGTAGAATATAAATCAACCATTATAGCTTTGTACTCGCTTGCCTACATATGAATTGTTCAGGATATGTCTGAGTAGTTAGTTCTTGAGTATGTTTTCAGCTTGATAAAGGATGAATAACTTCAGCATCAATATTAGATTTGAAGCAGTGAGTGAGTGCATGGGGTGTTTTGGGCCTGGATTGTGTGCCTCCCCGATCACTCCTGGAAGTGATTTGACTGGTTGCCCCGAGTGAACTCCTTCCCCCTGCCCTCCTCCTGCAGGGGAGAAAAAGCCTGCCTCCATGTCCTGCCTTGTGAGGGCTTTTAGTTTCTCTCAGCTTCAGAGCTCCAGCTGCTGGCAGCCAGCCTCAGGAGATCTCCAGCAGAACACAGAGCTGAGTTCAGGGAGTCCTCTCCCCTCTCAGCCTCCTCTGGTCCTCCTCACCTTGCTGGGTGGGATCATAGAGGATCCCTGAAACTCAAGCACGTAGGTCTGCTAGCGTGTCATTTCCTCATTGTACTCATGGAGCTTTACCTTCCTCATGCAGGTAACATTTTCCACTTGTTTATCGTTCCTTTTCTGCCTCTGCTCCTCGTCTCAGAATTATTTTTCGAACTTGATAACAGCCTCTTCATTCTTCTCTTTTGTTGACTTTTTCTTGTTCTCCTTGCCTCCAGTGGTCTTTTGCAGTTTGGCATTGGGATGTGTGGGTGCGTAATCGTAGGCGTTCGGCACTCCAGTGTTGGCAGGCAGAGATCGGAGTGTTGGGAAACGGTTCATAAACAGCAGCCGAGAAAGAGCAAGGGCAAAGTGGAATGTTAAGTTGAAACACATGCTGCATTCAGAGTGGGCTGTGTGCAAACTAAGCCCTCGCTCCCTGGCTTTAGTGTGCAGCTGTACAGAGCTGTCTCTTTCTCCCTCTCAGACTCACCACCTCAAGGTTGTCTCTGTGTGCTTTCACATGGCCAGGAGCAGCGTTAGCACAGCCTGCTCACCATTTGCAAGAGGGTTTGTTTGTGTCCTTTTGCATTGGCTCCACTTGTTGCTTTCACCACTCAATCGGTTGCATTTAATAAACAGCACACATTGATTTACCCACACAAATGAAAATCTGTTGGAAGATAAAACTAATTACTACCTCATGTGTATTAGATAGGATAAACTAAACAGCTGTTGGATTCCAGGGACGACACTTACATGATTTAATACGTTTGACCCACCAAATTGAGTTCCATAACAATGGTCAAAGTGAATTTCCTGATGACTTCATCATCAAAGTAAAATCAGTTGCTCTGAGCTAAGTCAGCGAGGTGTTCTCCCACCCCTCTTTTTTCCCCTCTCCTGGTGAAGAATGGATCTGAATTTAATGATGTTTGTAGTGAAACGCAAATCCCAGACTAATTACATTAAAGAGCTGTGATCTCCTGCTCCGTGCCTTAGTGAACATGTCATGATATAGTAGAGATTAGAAAAGCCTCCAATTTAAAACCCCGCTGTGGAGCAGCAGCTGCAGCTATCAGCTCTCTGTGTGGATTGTAGAGTGTTTATCTGGGCCATGCATGGCTGCTGATGGCTGCGGTTTGATACTGATCACAGAGAGGATGGAAACTAGCTGAGAAACTTCGCCAGCGTGCAACACCGTAAACACAGCCGGCTAATTCATATTTTAGCGGTGTATTTATGCAGACAAATAATATAAAAAAATAGCATAATGCATATCATTAGATAATATAAACTATGACAAATAAATAAATAATTTTATAAATAGTAAGATAATTGGACAAATAAAAGTTAGAATTAAATAAAAAAACACATTTTTTTACAGACATAACTCCTGGAAGATATTGCAATGTGCAACTCACTGTACATATATGGTTGAACAACATTTAAAGAATTTACAAAATATAAAAAATAGATTAAAAAAAAAACAACAACAACAATATTTTAGATATAATTATTCTATAATGCAGTACTTTGAAGCTGCACCTAAACACACAAGTATAAATGTATCACTCACACAAATTCCAGCTCCGCCATATTTAACATTCAGTTTCCGTCTGCCCTTCCCTCTTCTGTGGAACCTGTTGAGCCGCCCTCCCCCGGACTGATAATGACGCTTTCCTTCAAACCTCCAATAGAGTTCAAGCGTCTGTCAGAAGCCATTAGAGGCAGAATATTTAGCGGCCTCAGTGCCCGGCGGCAGGCTGACGGGCCCTGCTGCGAGATCCTTTGGGGCCCCTAAAGAGTGGCCCTCCGCTGGGCCCGTAACGAGAGCGTCAGCCCGCCTCCCGGTGACAAAGCTCCACACAGGCTGACACTTGAGATTAGCCACTACAATAACTGTTATCGCACATCATCTCAGCGAGACAGCCTGCTTGTACCTTTCAGAAAAACGCAGTATTGACATGGAGCTCAAATCATTGACTTTTTCGAGTTTAAGTTAGTGTTGTCCTTGAAAAGAGAGGAGAATCTGTTACACTCACAGTCTTAAACTACATTCAATCCTTAATCCATTTACTTTTAACCTCCCATTTACATTCATAAGCACAGGAAGTCACATTTTTCAAACCATTTCCTATTAATTGCAAACGCCTTATTGGCTTCTTAGAAATTCAGAATCATTGAAAAAAATATCTCTATATTTTGGATTGTAATTTCCAAAAACAAAAAAAAGTATTGTGTAAAATGACAGTCAAACGAAATGGGTCAAACAAGTCTAAGTATGTGATTAAATCAGAATTAAACAGAAATGGGAGTATTAAGTCAAACATAATGTATCTAAAACTAGAAATGTCCTCCTGAGAATTATATAAATGGCAACTATAAACAACCCAATAGCAGTTTAAACAATAAAATATAAAAATAATAAGACCAACAGCCCGTCCACACGGCAGCTTTGGAAAAAGCTTGGAGGTGGGCGTGTCTGAAGCTTGGGGGAGTTTATGCGAGCAACGCGACCAACAACCAATCACATGAATCTCCCGCCCCCGACATACAAAGCAAAAAAGCCCGGTTCTTCTCCACTATTGCCAAAATGGATGCCGGTTTTGTAGCAAGGGTAGTAGCAAGGGTGGCTTTATTATGCAATGTCTCGCAGGAGGCCATGTAGTGTGCGTCGCTGTTGGGTACATCTGCAATCTGAACTGCGGTATGTCACTCCCAGCATACACGCGGTTTGATTGGCTAGTGCGTGACTGGCAGATTTGCATAAACGGGATTTGATTGGCTGACGCTTCTGCCGAGGCTTCAAAAGTTGAACATTGCTCAACTTTTGCAGCCTGAAACGCCAGGAAAGCTCCGCTCTGCTTCCCACAATGCAGTTCGGCGTAAAGTGACGTCACCCCATTCAAAGTGAATGGGCAGAAGCTTCCAACGCCGCTCTGTGGACGGGCCGTAATCGGAAGCAATAACCCTAATGACTCACATTTCCAAAAATATCCCATAACATTGACATTCTTAAAAGAGAGAGCATCTTGTCTACAGAGACAGTTATTAGAATAAACAACTAATCAGCTAAATAAAGACAGATTGTATGCTTGGCTAAAAGCTCACAGTCATTGTTGGCATGGCCCTGAATGACCAACACCTGATCTCAGCGACATTAGTGCCCTTTGTGGGCACACTGATACCCATTGAACTAAACACAGAACCACAGCAGTTGGCGACCCACTGAGACCCATCTGCTGACATATTTTTGTTCAAGTTTTCTCCTGGTGTTTTGGCTACCTGAACTTCCCTTCAGTGTTCAACAGTCTGCATGAAATGATCACACTGAGGATTCGGCGCTCAACAGTAATCAACAGAAACACATTAGCAGCCAGATGGTGCTGACTACACAAGTAAATTAGACCCCGGGCCCTTCACAAAACACTCACACCCCCTGTCATATCACCACGGAGACCAATGCTTCTGGCCCTGTGCTGCTATTCTGCTAAGTCACTGTGGATTTATACACACTCCGACCCATCAAGCAATTTCTATGCATGTATTGTACTTTTTGATCACATATTAAGTATTCATAGGCTAATCTGACATGCACACAGCTGGGTTTCCCAGCTTGTGTCTCTTTTTTCTTCTCCTCCTGCTTCTTCTTTTCCACTGGAATTATATGCAAATCCCCGCTTTGCCACGAATAATAAGCAGGAGCTGTGATTTGTCCAAGGTGTCACCTCGGAGAAAAGACATGTGAGGCGCATTCTGCTGCAGAGCCACGATGTTACCAGAGAGAGGCAGTGTTGTGTTGTACGAATCTGCTCATTGTGAGGCATTTTCAGGGGGTGGTAGGCGTATGTGAAGAGAGGAGTAGGAGGAGGTGGTAAAGCACTGCCAATGTTACTCCTGGCAACCTTGATTAAGACAGGATATCGTTAGTACAAATGCTCTTGTGATGATTACATAGTGAATATTTCTGCCCACAGTGCAGGAATGGGGTTTTTTGGTGCAGGCTGTGGGCAGCTGTCGTGATGTCGCTGTGACAGGTGTGCAGTGTGGATACTAGATAAGCAGATAGACTGGAAGCATCCCAGTGGTTGTGTTACCATCGGGAAGAATAATCCCTTTTAAATCCATTATCTTTTACACTAGTGATACTCACTTTATGGCCCCGATTTAGCCAGCGATTGGAGTGCTGCATGTCTCGCTGACAATTTTCTAATTCACAATGAAAATACTTGTTTTTATTTGTACCTAAACTCCAAGAACTAGCTTTGCGAAAGGTTTGCCATGTCTTCTTCGCAAGTCAATCGAGGAAGAATGGGATTTTTTTGGGAGTAGGGTTTACAAAATAAGGTGCCGCACTGAATAAGAAGCATCAACATAGATAAATAGAGCTTAGAAAATAGTATGCTTCATTTAATTTGTGCACAATAACACATTTACATGTATTATTCAAAGTATACACTACATATGCACTGTCTGCCTGTGTTAGAAGAGACAGCATGATCCCCCCCCCTCATTTGCCTTCCTTTTGTCAGCCCTGCAAGGTCAGTCTAAAGTCTGCATGTTGATGAATATATATTGCTGACCTCCATTATAAAGCATATTTCTGACTCCGCATGTTGTCCTCTTTTCCCCTTGTATAGATCGCCTTCTCGCAGCACAGTAACTTCATGGATCTGGTGCAGTTCTTCGTCACGTTCTTCAGGTGAGCAGCTCTCCTCCGCCCCTCTGTCAATTCACTCACTCTGAACTGCAGATGTGTTGCACTTCAAGTGGCAGCAGTTGCCTTCAATGTTTATGTGTGTGTGTGATGCAGTGTGTGTGAACCATGCTTATGAAGCACCAAGGTTGCTCTGTGGTGCACCAGCCATTACTGTGAAGGAGCACTGCAGCTCACTGGTTGGAACAGGAGAGTGCACACACATGCAGCTCCTGTTGTCTTGTGTTGTTCCCCCACATCATACAAAAGGGCACACACACAGGAAACACAGAGGTCCAAATGGAACTGCTCTGAAATGTGGATGTTGTGTCATATCCAACCTTTGGGTGCTAAATCATAGAGTAGAGCAGGGGTGCCCAACCAGTCGATCGCGATCGACCGGTCGATCGCGGGGAGATTCCCAGTCGATCGCGAGATGTGTCTAAAAATAGAACAACAATATTCTGTTTTATCGTTAATCTCCTATAACATAATCTTCCTGTGCCAGAATAATGCACTTGAACGCACCAAAGCTTTGTGATTGGCCGGCGTGACCCCATGTGTGGGGGCGTGGCTGGTGGGCAGTGGGCACTATTTCGCTGACGTTGTCCGTGTCAACAGGAGTGACAGTCCGCACACACACAAGACCGCAATTATGGCAGAAGCAAAAAAGCCCAAAATATATAATTTTCACTCCGAGTCGAGTGGGAGGATGATTATTTTTGTATCTATTCCAATTCAAAGTCCATCTGTCTCATCTGCAATGCGAGCGTGGCTTTATCGAAGAAGGGTAATTTAGGAGCGGCATTTCAAAACAGTGCACAAACGCTACGAGACGGAATCCCTCCTAATTCTGCCCTACGCTCCAAAAGGGGAGGGGCCTGAAAGGACAGCTAAATGCACAGCAGTCCATTTTCACCAGGCCCAACAACAAGAGCAAGGCTGCTACCAGAGCATCTTATCGTGTCAGTCACGTTCTTGCGAAACACATGAAGTCTTTCAAAGACGGCGAAGTTGTGAAAGAAGCTTTCCTGGAGGCTACCGACGCGCTTTTTGGGGACAGTAAAAATAACAGAAGCATTTCAACAGGTTTTTGATATAATAAAAACTCAAGTTAGATACCTTTATTAATCAGCTGTAAGTTTTTGTTTGTTTGAACGTATTCATTATAATTATTGTACAAAATGGTATAAGAATGCAAATTTAAATTGATTATAGTCTATCATCAATTCAGGTTAAGAAACTAGTGTTACTTGCATCCTATTTTTTAAAGGCATTTATTTTGATACTCTACTAAAATGCAACAAAAAAAGAGTTTGATTCTATTTTTATTTTTTTTATTGCACTTTGGCAACAGATTCCTGTGTTGTTTTATTAGTAAGCCTAATTTATACTTTTGTAGCAAAACTATTGTTATATAATGGCAAAGAAAGGGTTCAGAGTATTTTCTTTTTTCCTGTGTCATATGTGGCAGCACTGTTCAATGTTTCTTGAAAACATTACCCACTGTAGTATGTGACGTGTGAGTGCTGCGTACCGGTACGCCGAACCGGTACTGGACTTGTAAAAAGTTTCGGTTCAAGTCCGGTTAAAACCGGAACGTCGGGAACCGCTACTTGGACTAGCAAAACAAACTAGCACTTATGTATATTCTGGTGTCTGTGGTTATTTAAACATTCCCTGATAAACGTTATTCAGCCTCAATAAATGAGTGCTAATCCCAGTGTGCTCAGTGTACAACATCACATGTAATTTCACCTTCGATTCACGGTTTGAAAACGTAGCATTTCGCCACATGCTAATGCTAACCGGAAGTGAATAATTTTCAGAATACAATTATTAAATTAATAGTGTGAACTTCCGTTTTTTTCAGAATAAAACGGATTTAAATTAAATAGTGTATTTAATTCAAAATTATGCCATATCAACATTGATTTTAATTTCTAACAGTATGTATGTACATCACTATGTATGTAGTACTGTATAATGTACACATGTAGAGTTGTAGAAAATACATGGTGTACAGACAGTACAGTACACTCTGATTGTACAGTCACTACAGTGTATACTGTATAGTAGGTGTGTAACAGTGTAATGCGTATAGTCTACTCTACACTCTACCTTTCAGCAACGTTTTAGGGATTTAGGCTCAGTCAGCTCAAGGACTGTTTGGTTACTTTAGTTTGGTAAATGAAAAAAAGGTTTGAACTTTGTAGTAGTTCACTGTAGTTGCTGTCATAAGTCATTTGTAGACTAAGTGGCAAAAAGTGTTTTTTTTTACATTTGTACTTTGTAGAGAAATGTAGACACAAGTTGGAAGGGAGCACAATAAACCTGATGAGTTTGAATTTGAGTTGATTATGAGTTTATTTTCAATTGATAATTAGCTCACAATAAGTTCACTTTAGTTACTCACACAACTTGACACAAGTCATGGGTTCAGGTCCGGACTTATAAGTCCGGACCTGAACCTGAACCTCTGGACTTGAGTCCGGACCTGAACCTGAATGTGAGTCCAGGTACGCAGCACTACGTGTGAATAAACTCCAACTCTGTATCAACAACACTGTTGTGTAACTTCAGTTAAATGCTTGTATGTGTGTAGATTAGAAAGAGGTAAGATAAAGGATCTGCAGTATTTTATGGAGTATTAATCGTACAAAGGTCAGTTTTATACAAGTAGAAGTGTGTATTTACCTGGTAGTAGGCTGTCAGTAATGGCTACGCCTCTCTATTTGGACTGGTAGATCTCGGCAGACTGGCAACTTTAAAAGTAGCTCTCCGTTCAAAAAAGGTTGGGCACCCCTGGAGTAGAGTATCCTTTTACGGAATACTCATGTTGCATATGTATATATTTTAAGTCCCTGAATATTACTTTTCGAACTTTCACAATAATTTAAAGGGGTCCTATTATGCTAATTTCCAGGTTCATATTTATATTTTGCGCCTCTAATGTGGCATGTCTCCATGCTTTAATGTTCAAAAAGGTATTTATTGTTCTCATCCTGCCTGTGCTGCAGCACCTCTTTTCACCCTCTGTCTGAAACCAGAGCCCAGTCTGCTCTGATTGGTTAGCTGGCTGACTCTGTTGCGGCCAGGCGGAGTTTGTGGGAGAGGGATTTTAGCCTTTGCAGACCATTTACATGCACAAAATCCTATTTAACACACTAAAGTAATACCCCAAAAACATAAAAGGGCCCCTTTAAGACACACTGCCATGAGGATAAAGTAGGACAGTCACACATATACAAAATGTACATTGGCGGATATTTTTCTCCTTTTCTCTTCCATTTTATGTGAGCGAATACACTCTTCTTTTGGTTAAGCAAAAATACTTTGGACCGGCTAAGCCCAACTGAAATCAAGTGAGTAGTTGAGTCCACGGCATTGCCTACATTCAGCACCGCCTCGACAGGTGATTCCATGTGTTGAATAGGATGGACATTTATAAAAATATACTTTGTTTTTGTACATTGCTTTGCCCACATGTCCTCATGGTTCACCCTTACAGTACATTGGCATCTTTAAATGCATTTCTCAAGGATCCTTGTCAGAGCAACATGCTGCTTTGTAAAGATTGAGACTCTGCTTCTGCTGAAGGTGCATATATCCCTGAACCTCTGGAACTGCTGTAATGTGTTATCGACTTTTAAAATGAGAGGGACCAACAATTGGGTACACAAGTGTGTTCCACGCATGCTTGACTGCATGTGTGTATATTTTTCTCCCGCGTGTGTGCCTAGCACCCAGGGGTGAAATGGAGGACGTTTTCGTGCTTTGTGTCGTCTCCACAATGTCCTGAAAAAAATAACTGGCTGTTCCAAGTCATACTGCGTTTATTGATCCAGCCACCATGTAGAGATATTTGATGGGGCCGATTTGAAAGATTCTCTGTTCATTGCTTTTCTTTCGCGCCCATCCCAATACAGTGTTGTTCAATAACAGTATGTTTTGGCATCAACTGAATACATCTCCCTCTGCACTGAGGTTTATTTTTACTAAAGCTCTAGGACTACAAGTGCTGTTATTCCCCTCGATGCCTTTGCATACAAATGCAGACCCTGCAGTTACTCGCTCATGAAGCTGGTATGTTTACTGTATACACATACGTCAGCTTTTAAATGTTTGCATGTCAGCATTCAGAGCATGCAACCTGCACCAGTGATCCTAAATAGAACAACCCCTCCTTTTCTTTACCCAAGTATCTCCCCTTATGGTTTACCTTTCCCTTTCACTGCCATCTCTACTGCCTCTGTTTTCCTGTCCCTCCTTCACTCCTAATTTTCTCACTCACTTACTCTCCTCTTTTGCCTCTCCCCTGTCCCCCTCTCATACTCTCCTATCCTTCTCATCTCTAGGTCTCCATCTCCTCCTTCTGTTCTGTGTGTCCTCGTTCTCCCTCTGCCTCCTCTCTTCTGTCCCTTGCTTCCCTGTGTCTGTCAATCTCCCCTGTTTCATCGCCCTCTCTTCCCTCTCTCCCTCCTTCCTCCCACCACTCCTTCTGACTTACTCTTAATCCCACAGCTCAGTCTTTTTCCTTTTCTTTCTTTTTGATGTGTGTGTTGCCTGCCACAGATTTAGCACAGATGTAGGAGACCTGAAAGTTAGCGAGCTCGCAGCCTTGTCCCTGTTTGCTTCTGGTTCTTTGGGCGCCGCATTGTTTGTGTTGCGGGGAGGAGAGGGTTGCTAATTAACGTGGAAATTGTTTGCTCTTCCTCACTGCGACTTTTCCTCTGTGTCTTGTGGGGACAGATGAAGGTGGCACCATCCCGTTATCTGCAGCACCAGCAACAATACCGCCATAAGCATTCTGCAAAACAGATGCATTAAAAATCCTTGTTTACCACACTGAAATACCCTCACATATTTACGTCCAGCTGTCCAGCAGCTTCCCACCTTTGGCTCATAATGTTGACTCATCGTTTTCTAAACTGAGTTTCAAATCGAGCCAACTTTCCGAGTCCCAATATTTATGGAAAACGTTTACTTTTACAAATTGAATGTTT